CGGGGAGGCAGCGCGGCGGCCCCCGGAGCTGGCCCAGCTGCAGCTGCAGGAGGAGATGTGCGAGCTGGGGATCCGCCTTAAGGAGCTGGAGCTGGCGGCGCTCATCGGCGACGGCTTCGACGCCAGGCAGTGTGCGTGCGCAGCCCGGGCGGAGCTCCGGCCCCGCCGCCCCGCGCTGCCCGGCCGCGCTCCCCCGGCAGGGACCCACAAAGCGGGACGGGCGTGGGGCGGGTTTGGGGTTCTCCGCCCCGCAGCGCTGCCTTCCTCCCGGGTCAGCCTCCCCGCTCACGGGTTAGGGGTGCCACACCAACTAGGGGTGTGGTGATGGTCGCAGAAAGAAACAAAAGCCCCGAAGTCGTCAAGTGACAACAACCAAAAAAAAAACCCAAAAAACCAGCGCAGGCATCAGTCAAGGGAGTTGGCGCATGAAATACCTACCCCCGCAGCCCCCCGGAGTTACTAGACTAGCCTAGAACGGAGAGGGCTTTGGGGGAAATATTTCAGGGATATTAGCAAAAGATTCCGAAAGAGGCTCCAATCCCCGATGTAGTCCAAGAAGTTTATCGCACGTGAAAGAGCGCTAACAGGGAAGAGCAGAGCCTTATCTAGGCTCCTGCTCAGGAAAAGATAATCGGCTCTCAGCCAATTAGGTCAAGAAAGGAAGGAAGGGTTAAATTAATATGGTTGCAGTTACAGGGGTCTCTGGGGAGGGAAAAAACATTTCCCAGAGCAATACAACAGGTACATGCAAAATGGATCGGGTAGTAATGAGACCCCGAGGCTGTGCATCAGCTTTGATGTAAAAAAAAAAAGGCCGGGGTAGTTGGAAGCATAAAAAAAATCCCCAAACCAAAACACACCCACCCCCCCAAAAAAAACTCAAAATAACCCACACCAAAAGAAACCACCAATCGAACAAAGCCCCTCCAGCTAAATTATATGTGAGCTTCGCATCTTAATTTTGCAACTTGCTTGCCATGAAGAGAATGCAGGATACAAAATAGTTCAGCAGATGATGATGGCACTGAGAGTTCAGGTGGCGAGGCCAACAACTAAAAGGATTTTATGCTCATTGTTTCCTGCAAGGTCACGGGCTGCCAGTCAGGAAACTTTCAGGAGTGCAAAGGTTATAAGAACATGGAAAATGTTCCATCAGGTATCTGCATTCAAAGGAAGATCTCAAAAGAAATTCAGATTGGTAGTTTGCATTTTTTTTTTCTTTCATTCTAGCAATACACACCACTTTCCATTCTTAATACCTCCTGTTGTGAGAAACTAATTTCAAATATTTGCTAGCAAGGCATTGTAAGGATTATTAGTTTGCTTAATACACTATTGGATTTACTTAAAACTATTGTAAATTGTTAATGACATCATTAATGACGAATTATGTTTAATTCCTGTTTAGATAAAATCCTGAAGGCGCTGGAAGAAAAGAAGATACAAAGCATGAAAGCAATGCAGAACCTGAAGTAATGACCACAAACATATTGAGGATTATTTCAGCTGGACATTTTGCCACTATCACTGTGGACTGTTTTAATGGATCTTCAATATTGGGTTTCTACTCGCTATTTGCTGTTCTCTTGCCAAATTAAAAATATGGCATATTGTTGACTTTTTTTGTGTATTATTCGGCTGATACTAGTTACTGATAACACTACTGTGTATTTGAACCTTTTTTTTTCCCCTCCAATTACTTTATGCAGGAAGTACATAATATTTTCTTCAAAAACACTGAGAAATTAACACTGTTTTTGTCAGGATTCCCAGCAGTCCATATCTGCAGCTGGGAAACACAGAAATGACAATACAAAATATGGTTGGGTTTTGCTTTGTGTTAGTTATAAGTAAATGAAGTGCAATTTTGAGAAAATGAGTATGGCCAAAAGTCCTAAGCCTATAAACCAGCTTAAAAACTATTTTCACATTAGCATAAAATCTTTGTTACAGTCACAGTATATTCCTTTACTGTCTTTAGTGTACCATAAAATTACAGAGGCTGTGGATTGAGTTGGTTTTTAGCAGAGCAGTCACACGACATTGGCTGTTAACTGACATTTATCTGTGATTTCAGGGATAACAGTGCTTAGGCTAAAGCCTGTGGCAGTTTTGGAAGTGACAGCATCCTTATGTTTGGAAGGCACATCCTTTCACGAGTGAAAATGAACAGAGGCAGGATCTGGACAGCATTTAATATTCAAAAATAATGCCACACATTAAGAACACCACATTGCTTTTTCCTATTCTATTTCCAGAGCAGTAGGTGGCAGCATGAAATAATAAAGTTACCGACCCTGAAGCTGCAATATTTTGGGAAAGAGCTTTGTTTTTAAGAGGAATATTTTAATCTCTGTTTTTTTTTAACTGTGTTCAAATTGCTCGGCTGTGAAATGCTTTAACAGAACACAATATCAAAATTTTATTTCCTCTTATTGTTTATTGCAGCATTCATCCTTATAATGGCTCAATCTTTCCAGCCAGATTTTGATCTACTGTACACAGAGGTTATACTAAAAAAAAAAAAAAAAAATCTAGTTTATAACCCCCATTTGTCAATCATCAAACTACAGCAATCACATTTTAATATGATTACAAATGAACACCAGAACACTTTGGAAATCTGGGCTGCAGTGTTTCAATGCTCCCTCTGCAGAAAGAGGATAACAAGTCTCTGACAGGCTTTTGAGGCTTAAGCAGAAATGGTTCATTGCTGTGAAGATATGAATGGTTAAGCTGAAATTGTTGGTTACCATGCAAATGAGAACTGTGTTAGTACCCAAACTAAATACTGGAAAACAAATTTGGATTGGACAAAAAGGGCCAATACACAGAGGCCTTCAGAGGCTTTGTGGAGAAGTGAGAGCTTTAAAATCAAGTTAGGTAACAGAGGAACTATCTTCATTTTCCCAATCTCCAGATCAATTTCATTCCTAAACCACCCTAAATTTTCCAAGGTTATTGCAAGGACTTTCAGAAGTTTCCATTACATGGAATTGCTGCTTCCTAACAATTACGTCTCAGCTTTTAACAAGTCTTTCACTCTACATCCAGCTCTCATCAGCCATTATTCACTTGTTTTCTTTATTCATTTGTTTTCTTGGCTTAAACAGAGCTGCTTTCCATGGCACACAGTTGAAACATTTTCCATCTGTTGTTCTGGTTTTCATATGGCCTTTCTGTTGAAACAACACTTGGTGTTTAATTACTGGGTGATAACGCAAGGAATAACATCAGTTAATGTGTAATCTAAATTAGAGTTGCCTCAAGTCACACATCTCCTGAAAAAAGTCATCTGGATCATGGCACTTAGCAGAATGGTCACCCTTGTCCAGTGCCACCCACAGCATCCCTGCATCAGGATGCTTTGGTCAAAACCCTTCCTCTAGAAAAAAACAGGCTATTGATACATAATGGCACATAGGCTGCTTTTCATCTGCCCCTAAACATTTCACTTACCTTTACTTTTCTGCTCTGTTTCCACCTGATCTTGTTAAATCCAGTAATTTGCCCTCATGTGAGGGCTTATGGTTTCATCTCAAAGCTGATCTGTTTATCATTTATTTTGTAAAAATTAAGCCATGTATTAGACAAAATAGAACAGCATTCCTACCACATTTTTTCTTATTCACAAAGAATGTGTCATTCATTTTTTTAATTGTTTCTGTTCTCTTAGATTGCTCAGGGGAGGCTTAACCTGACATTTGGATGCTGGCACAGTTCAGATCTCTTTCATGTAGCTGCCTTGTGACTCAACAAATCTATCCCTATTGCATTCAAGACAGAAATTTTAGGCTACAAATTTGATTCATAGGCAGAGATCTCAAAGCATTAGTAGGTTGCTCCCATTTCCAATCCTAAACGAAGCAAGGCTCTCAAAAAGCAGAGTGTCACACAGCCTGAGGGCTGGGCAGTGAGAGAGCCACATCTGCACCTGCAGTGACACCCAGGTGCTCCCCAGGGAGAGCCTTGGGTCCCACTTCCAGAACCTCAAATGGCCTTGGCTGCTTTATGGTGGGCAAAATGAGATACAAAGCTATTCAAAAACCAGAATGCATTTCAACTTTAAATTGTTTTATACCAAACAGTTGGGTCCATTAAATTTCAGACTGCTGTGTTCGAGTTTGCCGCATTAAAATTCTCCAAACAGATATTCAGCCTTATTACAATGGATCATTAGAATTTAAATTAATCTTCAACTCAAACTGCCTTAATTAGTCCAGGGACAGATTAGAAAGGAAACCCAAAAGCAGTAAGCCATCATGAAATGATTTTTCTCTTTTCAGCAGCGTCTGCTGCATTTTAGATTCACCTGCCCTGAAAATTCAGGGCTAACATCTCAGCGGAAATGAAGCAGCACCTAACTCTGGGAAACTTGTCCTCTTTTGTTTCTTTGGCACGTAGAGTTTTTTAAGGTTGCTGACATCTAGATAATGAATCGAGTTGCCAATCAGGAAGCATTCCATAAGTGTTGCATTTTTCTTTTCCAAGGAAACATATCATTATTAATAACATGAATCGGTTGAGTTCTTCTGCACACTAAAAACATATTTGTGAAATAGGCTCAGATTTTGGTGTATCTTGAGCAAAGCCAGAACAACCCCTTGAGGCAGTTTAAGTACTCACAATCACAGCAGGTATATAAAATATATAAATACTTATTTACATTCAAAAAATGATATCTTAACTAGGCCATCTGTCTAGAACCTTAGTAGTGATACTTACACTAGGAAGTTCATTTTTCTGTTATTTTTATAAGATCATTTCCTGCCTCTTTTTTCTTCTGAAACTACAAAGTAGTAGTAAAGGACCTTTTTATTGCAAATTTCTTGCATCACAAATTATACAAAAGCAGCCCTGTCAAAAGCTGCATTTTCCTCTTCCTTTTACTACAGACTGACAGCACAAAACTTAGGCGTGAGTAAATGATATTAAAAACCACAAAAACTGGATCTGAAGAGGAGGACACGGCAGGAACAACCAATAAGTAGCAGCACAGATTTTAAGACATATTTTATTTCATGTGCAAAGTTGCCAAGGAAAACACGTGTACAACTTCAGCTAAGCTATAACCACTAACAAGAAATTAACTACTCTATGTACTCATAAGCTTTATTTCTAGAATCACCCTATGGCTCAGAGTAAAAACACAGGAATTTGGTAATGACCCAGAACATTTTAAAACTCTCCTTTTCAATCATATGTAAAACTCTACATCAGCATGTAATTTTAAATAACAGGTCTTGGAAATTTTCCTTCTGATTGCATAGTATAAAATTTTAATTATTTATTTTCTTATTCTCTCGATTTAATCCCTAAACTCAGCTTTAAATTTGCTCTCAATTTTGCAGCTTCAGAAAATTAATTTTCCCACTTACAGCTGAACCACTCATAAATTTTGAGCAAGTTTCACAGACACAGCCATTACAATTCAATTGAATCAAGCTGTGAACACCAAAGGTAACATGGATATTTGTAATCATGCAGAGCTAGTCCTTTCCATAATTCAAAGATGTAAGAAAAGTTCATTTCCTTGGAAAGTGAGATCTGTTGCCTGGGAAGTGAGACAGTTTATTGATATAAATTCTGTAAATCTCTGTAAAAAAGTGTAGAGATTGTTATTGGAAAGGCTTCCTAGAATATACTGAAATATTTTTCAAGAGGTGTTTTTTTTTTTCCCGTGTAAATTCACATTTATTGAAATGCTACGGTAGGAATAGGTACTTTATAGTCCTGAACAGTTCCCAAAGCTCAATGAAGTAATAAATGGTGCTTCTTACTAAAACATCCACTGCAGTCCAGGGTTTGAGTTTCAGCAGAGCAGTGAGGAGAGGCAGCCCCTTCACCCTGCCCTACAGATGGGGCACTGAGGCACAGTCACATTTTGGACCACTCCAAAATTCTCAAGAAGAGCAAACTGAGCTTCCATCTCCCAGTTTCCAGCCACCCATAAACTCACAGCATCTGTCCTCTCCTGGCACAGTTTTAAGACACTTGATGGCTAATTTATTGGGGGGTCTCTAGCTCAGCCCTTTTCTCCTTGAAGGAAGCAGGTGTTTAGCCAGTAATTGCAGTGGAAAATGTTACCTAATAGGAGAACACACAAAGCACACCGTGGGCTGAAGCTATGCAGTGCCGCAGCTATTTAAACTTCTGTCCTGTATTGGTTCCTGCTTCTGTCACACCAGGTGTCAGTGAGGTAAAGAGTGCATTTCTTTGTGTGCACAATGTGAAACTCAAATTCAGAATGCACAGTGATGGCAGGAAAGACATTCAATGAAGATAAAAAATCAAAAAGCATAGGAGTATCTGTGCTGGACAAACATGCTTTCTGATAAGACCAAGAACTGCCCAGACCTGACCCTTTTGTTAGGCCTGAGCTGTTCCTGTTGGGTTGCTAGATCCTGCATCAAAATTTAGGCCTCAGCATTTAGGGTTCTATCATATTTTCCAAAATCCTTGGCTTCACCCTCCTTTTTTTTCTATCAAGTATGATGTTGAATGCAGCTTGCAATAAGAAGTCAACAGCAAGATGAGATGGAAAAGCCTTCCCAGTCTCTTTGTCATAGAAGGAAATACTAAAATAAGGTTTTTTCCTTATTGCAGCATGGAGATAAAGACAGGAATAAAGAATAAACTTCAAGTTCACCTACATCCAGATCTCCTTGTCAGATACACAAGGCCTGAACTGATTGCCACAGGTTGTTATGGTGTTTGGACTGGTTTGCACAGCACAGAAATGCTCTGGGCTCCAGTGAGGAGGGAATACTCTGGGAGAGAAATTCACCTGCTCTCTAAATATTGCACTCAGTGGAATCACCTTTCTTTGTGATTTACAGTCCTTTGCACCCATTATTGCCTAGTAGGTAAGTGTCCGTTTCTAAAGTGACAAAATTCTTTACAGAATGCAATATAGGAACAGCTTACTCCTTGGGTATGAACTGACTGTGGAAAATTCATGAAGTCAGACTTCTTAAAACAATAATTATTTTTAACAAATGCAAAAAAGAAAAAAAATCAAATTCCTGAGACATCTCTTCATGATACTTGTAATTATTTTCAAGACATCTACTATACATTTGACCACCTAACTATTTAAAGCCCATTTCTCACCTTTCAGGGGCTTCATAACAGAACAACTCTGAGATTTATCTCTTTATTTCTGCCTCTGTACCCCTTAAGGAACCTGAAATGGATGGGGACAAATTGATGGACAAATAGAACCAGGTTTGAAAAATTATTTTTGACACACTCATATATAGATACACGTGAATATGATACAATATTCATAAGAATATGACCTTAAGGTGATTTTAAACACATTAAATATTATATGATTTGGGGGCATTTCAACTATTTTTAAAATCAGGGCCTACCTAAACAAACTTGTTCAATGCAGTTATTCTCAGGAGAGATTCTGCAGTATTGACAGCTTTGCCTTCATGACTTGGCCATCTTGAAAGATTTTTAAAGAGCAAGTCAGTATGTCATTTCTTTACTGACCTATACATAAATCTCACTTCCACAAATTGAGTCTTGCATTATTTATTTCCGAGAGAAAGGCAAAAGCTCAAAAAAACATTCTGAAAGAGTACTCTTCTCCTTAAAATATGAAAAAAAAATTGAATTATTTTGATAAACAAAAAAGAAATCTGTTGCTCATTCCTAGAGTTAAAAATTAACCCATGAAGAGAAAGCTGCATTTTCTAGTAGGTATGAGTGACATGCAAGATCCCTGTCCCTCTGTCACTTCGTGTCAGTGGGGACTGGGAAGCCACTGGGATTTGTTAATGTGTAAGAAATGCAAGAGCAGGACAAAAACTGGTTGGACACAGGGTTTGGAGCTGCTGGGATGTGCACAGGACAAGAGGGGCAGCAAAATGCAGTGGCTTCTGTGAGCTCAGTAAACTTTGTGCTTTCAAGCTCCCTCTGATTTCTAGAAACTGGCAGTCAGCTCTTATATTGGCAATGCAGGGCTAAAAAACATTCATTAAAATGTGATTAATTCTTTAACAGTCAGACGTCTTGAAATGTAATGGAAACTGGTCAGCTTGGAATATATCAGCCCTTAAACAAAGTAATTCTTCCACTCTACACAATGCTGCATTTTCTACCTGCCTCTCATTTTTATCTTACACTTCTTAAGCGTCTCATCTTTCAAGGAGAGTCTGAAAACGAAATGATCAGTGTTGAAGGTACTATCCTCATTTCTATATATAGGGCTTGCATACACTTCTATCAAGTTCTACCCATAGTATTATGACATACAAATATTACTCATATTTCCAGACTGAGTGCTGGAGCTTCTCTCCAACAGAGATAATATGTCAAGAAATGACTGCCAACAAGTCAAGAAATGACTGCCAACAAGTTCCCTTTTATCCTTTTAAAGTTACTGTTCTACTGATACTAAAAAATGTCACACATGGTTTTCCAAGTGAAAGTGGTCAGAACAAACATACCAGGAAGGATTTTTTTGTTGTTTCATTTGCAACTGTTCCTACTGATGATTTACAAATCTGAAGACAGATAGTGGTCAGAACATCAACATTTTATGTACACAGTAAACAGTACTTTCACCTAAACATTTAACATATCTTTAAAGAAAACTGGGGCATTGAGTAGAAAAAGCAAAATTACTACTTTTTTTCTCTGTAAAAATGGCATGGATATATCTTGACCAGGTTATATAACTTTAAACACAAATACTTTCTTCTTTGAAATCAGTATTGAAAAACCATATTGTAATTTGTAGCCATACAAAATGTTTATTATATTACAAATTATTTGTACACTATATTTTCACTTTATCATAGCTTTGTGCTCAGACAGTATAAATATTACAGCATGATTTTTCTTTCCCAGGAATGTCCTGTCTTGATATAATCTTACTTTATACTTAAAAAAAAAAAAAATTACAGAAACATATTACAAACAGGATAAAAAGGCATAATGAATGAAGAATGCAAGATGGTTTTCTGAATAAAGTGCACCACAATGGTTTCAGAGTGATGGTTCAGGAAATACTAAATAGACTGCACATCATCCATAATAATAACAAACAAAATTAATTTTGAATCTCTAACAGGTCTTTGTCGGAAGTATGAAGAGTACTTTGTTTAACTCTACTGAAATGTTTTTTTCTTTCTAGAAGGCTATTTAAATGCTTTTGTTTGGGGTTTTGCCATTTTCTACCCTGGACATCTCTATACTTTCCAAAATCTTTAGTTTCCAGTATGGCAAGACACAAGATTCATTGTGTAAGATATCTGAGACTTTACCCTCACACATTTTTAATAGAACTATTAAATTGCCACCATTTAAGAATGGGAACAGACTTACAAAGAGCTAAGTGTCCAAAAGATGTCATTTTAATTTGGAATGCCCTGCTTCCTGTGACTTTTTTGGGAATATATTGTTACATTACCCTTCCCACCTCTATGACTTCAGTGTGCCCATCCATGGGATCGTGGCTGCTTGCATAATTTCAGCCTCAGAACAGCCCTGCAAAACTGGAGTCTAAGCTAGAGAAATTTATTACACAGCACATTTCACCCCCATTGCTTAGAAGGGCCCATTTACTGGCAAATTTTCACTGGGCTACATAGAAGAATCATTCAAAAACTGAGATAGTAAAGCTGATGCAGAATGTGGCTGACACAACCTGGTGTAGGTTTTACTTCCCGGGTTAGCTCAAGCCAGCTGTGAACCAGCTCAGGCTACATGAAAGTCAGCTGCTCTTCCATTATATCTGCACTTATGTTACAGGGATCCAAATGACAGAAAAATAAACAGAATTCTGTTAAAGGGGTCTAGTGAAATTTGCTTTTATAGACAAAGCCCAATAGAGTCTTGCTCTCAGTGAGTGTAATTCCCACCAAAGCCAACCAGAACCTTTCTGTGGCACACTGAGTTTGGCCCAGTATTTTTCAGCTGTTACTCCAAAGTGTGATGCTCTTAGCCAGCTATTAATTTGACCCAATTTGGCTGTGTTGTATTACAGTGATAATATCAGTATTACCTGACTGAGACAGCAGTCAGCTTTTACTAGACTTGTATTTATAAGAAAAATTTAGTTTCTTTGGTTGTTTAGTATCCAAGTCACCCAATTGTATATTTGTGTACTCCAGACATAGCACATTTATATCGATCAGTAAAATTATCAGGGGTTTATTCTTTCTTTCTTTTTTTTTTTTCCCACTTAGTTTATGGAAATTTTCTGACTATAGCAGACTAGTCACTTATATAAATATACAGCACATATATACATAGAAATTACAAAAATACATTTTATTTATATCTGATTTGAAATAATAAAAATGAAATTTCACATTTATTGAAAGATTAACTAGCATTCCAAACACTTCTGCAATATTCAAGGTATTGGAGCATAGGATGCCTGTATATTCTAGGATAATTACGCATCACAGTCTCAGGGTTTATAATATGATTATTAGGGGGGGAAAATAGCTCTGCCTTAAAAGTTTGTGCTTCATCAATTTCTTCTTCTATCCCCTATTCTAGTCTTCTCTCTCCTTCTCTCAATTTACCGATAGCCAAAAAGCTAAACCAAGTTCCCTTTCTCACACCAGCTAAGACCAAAGAAACTCAGGGAAATGAAATGATCAGACAAAATAGTAATTGAGGATAACTAAATAACCCACTGAAATGGAGGACATTGCCTTTAACTCCAGTTGACATCAAACACGCCCAACACAACAAATTTTGCAACTTCAGTTCCTGAAGCTAATTGCTGAAGGAACTGACAACAACTGCTCATGACCTTCAACTAGTTTGTACAACTGCAAAATATTAACTACTGTCCCATCCCAAGAGGTTTGATTTTCTTTTGGGATTGGATTCCTACCACAACGCAGTGTAACAATCAGTGACCTTTATCTTGCACAATATAAAGTCAGCATCATTTCCAGCAATGCTTCTTTTTTCACAGAACATTCATATTTCTTGTTAATCCGTGTAGCTGTTAACTTATTTACATGTTAATATAGTAATTAGGTCCTCTACATTCAGAACTTCCTGGGTGCGCATTCACCGTGCCAGGGCAATCAAAATCAACTGCAGCTTCAGGTAGCACTTTCTGGCATCGCTTTAGTAGATAGCATTGTTAAAGAAAGAGGGGGAAAAAGCACTGTGTTGAACAGAGGTTTCCTTGTCCAAGCAGGTGTATTCATTTTTCCAGGTTGGAAGGATTTAAAGGTCTCAGGTTTACCAGCTTCACATGCATTCAGAGTGAAAAGCCCAATTACAGAGAAAACAAGAATAACCTTTTTTCATTTCTCTGGGAAACTTTTAGCACCAATATCCTTTTCTGGCTCTTCATGCATTGTATTCTCTCACGCTGAAAATAAAATCTCCTCCATAACTCATCAGTGGCACTGAGGGACAAGGTAGCCACCAATTATGGAAATGTCATTCACCTTCTTCACAGTCCTCTCTTCTTTCACTTCTTTGCACTGTTAATAGGATGAAGAGACTCGGAGCTATTTACAGGCCTTTTATTTGTATTACTTAATCATGTTGAATCTTTTGGCTTGAATACAGTCTCTGGGATGAAAAGGCTGAAATGACTCTGCATTGCTGAAATCAGCACCCCTTGTACAATGTCCTACAGCAAACAATTACCACGGCCACTGCCATGCCAGCCGTGGCCTCCAGCAAACCCTGTTCTGTGGGTTTTTTCTTCTTGAATCAAAGTTTTGGCATGCAGAAGTTATTTTCAGCAGCTCTGCCTCTGGGCCTGCAAATGAAACTTCTTGTGGCACGGACGAAGTGGCAAACAATTGCATATGGTTGATCTCATCAGTATGAAACAGTTTCTGGCAGCTTTTCCTTAGCTGGAAAGCAGAATTTCGTGTCTTCAGAGTCCCGTTGCTCTGCTTTGCATACCTTCATTTCATAGTGTTGACTTTTCAGACAGATTAAAATGCCATCGCTTTGGCACAACTCACAGAAAGTTTGTAGCCGAAAATTAAAGGAGTTGCTTTCTTGGCTACCCCAGGTCGCAAGACACAAACACCGTGCACGGAAGATATATTAGACCTGGAACTCGAACATATCTGTTTGCTTCTTGGCCAGCTTGGCCACTTCTTCTCTTATTGCCTTGACGAGGGCAGCCGTGGAGATGTTGGTGAGCGGCGCGTCGGAGGGGTCGTTGTCGGCCAGGCTCTGCTGGGAGGCGGCGGCGGAGGCCAGCGGAGCCTGCTCCAGGCTGGGGTGCAGGCTGCCCTGCTGGCTGTACTGCCTGGGCAGCCGGGAGGGCGAGTTGTGCTGGTAGCGGGGCCTCGGGTAAGCCTCGATGTAGCCAGGAAGGGGGACCTGTGGGGAATTGGAATTGCACGGGATTACGCGACGGTCGATCCGCGGTGCCGCCTGCCAGGGACCGCAAACCTCCCCGGGCACTGTCAGGTGTGACAGAGATCACCAAGTGAAGGGAATGCAAACCTCACAATTCCCAGCTTCTGCCTACAAACACCTGTCCTGGCACGTGCCATTTATGCACGTCCCAGCTGTGGTAGCAAAAAACATCTGCTTGTCCTAATTTATCATCACCTCCAAAAGTCTGAAGGGAAAAGGTTTTTCTGGAAGTGTGCTCTCTGCTTAGCAAACACTTCAGTTTTAAACAATCAGCATGATTTTAGTACACCAAAAAGCCTAAAAGAGAAAAGCAGTTGTCTGATTTCTATCTAATCCATGCCAGCCAAGTGTCTGGTCTCACTGGTCCTAACAGAAACTCACTAGATCCAGACAACAGGGATAAACTCAGGTGCACCAGCTTGGAAATTCAAAGGGATGTTTGACTGCTCAGAAGTGTCAAGATTTCTGGCCATGTCTAACAGAATTATGTGAGGGATTCATAATTTTTGTAACTCCACAGATTTCAGCCCCATGTTAGCTAAAACTAAAACAATCGTGTGGGCCCTTTAGTCAGAGCGAGAGATTAAATTTCTTTCACAAATCCATGAAACACAATACCAGTCTTTTAGGAACTCAGAAGATTTTAATGCATCAAATAAAAAATAGTATTTATGATTTCCAAAATTCTATAAAAATAGGAATCTACGGGCCTTAGTTTCGAAGAAGGCTTCATGCCTGAAGCCTGACCATTAGGATTTACACATCCTCTATACAGCCTTGGGTATCCATCAAATGCTGAAGGGAATGTCAAATGTTCACTCTGGTGTGACGAGACAAATGTAGGAAGAAGGTATGATATGAAAGTGATCATCAGATGTAAGCACCTCTGTTTAGTTTACAACAGGCTCTTCCAAAGGTGATTTTACTAGAACAACATGTGATCACGCCACTAGAGGCCACCAAGTTACTGTTTTCACTAAGCAGCATCCAACAGTTGGGAAAAGAAGTGCTTTGTGGATACAGCTGCATCATCCCACAAAACTTAGTGTTTCAATACTTACCATTTGTGACAGAGAATAATATATCACAGTAATTTTGCTTATAAAATAGGTCATATCTCCTGTTTCCTCTACTCCCTTGCTTACAGTCTAGCCTAGCAGAAATGTGTGAAAAATAAAGAATCTTATAGATAATAAGCCACTGTTCTCAATAATTGTAAGAAAATCTTGGAAATGTGATCAAGCAATAATCCAGAGGCTCAGAAACCAGGACACATGCAGAAATTCAAGCCCTGAGTATTACATCAGATCTTTATATTATTTACTTTTATTCAGGGTTTCTGACTGTGCTATATTCCTAATGCTATTACTAGCTCCCTAGTAATGATTTTCAAATAAAGACAATTTCTTGACAGATTTGAAAATTCCTTGTAGGAACTGCAGTAGTTTCTATATTTTTACCTCTTCTGCAAAGCCACTGGAGGGTTGAAAATCTGAGTAGCAAGGAATTGTTAAAGCTCTGCCATGGGTAAGTGAAAAGGGACATTTGTTTCCTTTGAATTCTATATTGCCATGGTTATTTTTCAGACAGATTTTTATATCACTCTCCATTCCTCTTTCCCTGAAGACAAGGAAACCCACAACAGGGTTATATCCTTCTCCTTCCAGAGGAAGGAGCTGGAGGCTGGACACTTGGTTTGCAGTTTTGACCCATTTGTTCCAGTCTCCACTTCTGACAAGTGATACCTGACTCTTTTTCCACAGGGCTGCAATCAAGAGTAGGGATACAAAAGGGAGAATGAATGGGAGACAAGCAAAATTTCCTTATTTGTTTCATGGCTTTTTTCCTTCTTAGAGAAAAAGTTTAAAATAATTTCTAAGATAAAATGGGCCTCCTGGATTTAAGATGTCAGAAGGCTCAAATAAATAAATAAAAACAAACACCAAAACAACAAGGGAAAATAAAGCTTTTCATGCTTTAAAAGGCAGCTCTGAGAAGGAAATTCATACCAGAGCCTCACAAGCCTCCCAGGTCAGGAGCACATCAGCAGGTGTGCTCAGCTTACAAATAAACAGCTTTTTTTTTCCTGATAGTTCAGCCTTCAAATGCAGACTTGCAGCTCAAAGTCATATTGAATTCTTTTCCTCACAGGCCTCAGAAGCAGTAATAAAGAGTGAACAACAAAAAAGCTGCCCCCAGGAACATTTATATGACTGTGTTGTCTCCTGCTTAGCTGCTCAAAGCCAACTTAGATTTCAACTGCAATTCATTAAAATGTTCTGTTGATGATTTGCACAAGGAAATTGAATCTGTCTCCCAGGTTTTTTAGCCAGAGCGGCTCTGCATAAATACCAGATGTGAGCTCAAGCAGAAGAATTTATCTTTTTTTCCCTTGTATAAAAAAAAAGCCCTACATTTGAGAAATTGTTTCAAACATGATAAACTACTGCAATTCATTTTAGGATGTTTCAACTTCAATTCTTTGAAATGTAGGTTTACTTTAGGCTAAAAATTACATCTGTTCCAGTCTGGGATTGTGCAATTAATTATTTAATTTATGATCTGTCACTGCAGCCTTTGGGAGGATTTGAAACAGTGCACAGCAGGGCTGCAGCAGTGCTGGGAGGTAAGATTTGGGAGCCAGGTTGTCTTGAGAGAAGCCTGAAGATGCTTCCTCAACTTTCAAACAGCTCAAGGCTGCCTTGAGGGGCAGCATCACCTTCTCCTGACACGTGTCTATCTAAAAATTTAACTTTTCTCAGGAAATAAAAATTATATCTAGCCCAGCAACTTTAAGCAGGTGCCAGGCCCTAACCTAGTGAATGATTCCACCCTCTAAAGCTCACAGTTCATGTTATGAACAGCTGAAGTATCTATGTCTAAGCCATCTCTTACAGCTTTTCACTGCTAGAGGTTATTCCCACTCAAGGAAAAAACTATCCTTTTTGGCTTCTTTGCAGACCAGTGAAGAATTGCTGAAAACCCCTCCTGTGGAAAACACAGAAAACACAGGTGGTTAGAAAAGCAAGGATGCTTACAGAGTCTGCCCACTGCCCTGGTAACTCATTCTCTCCAGCATAGGGCATCCAGGCTTGGTTCCTGTAGGCAGTGGGAGGAGTTGGGATGAAATAGCCCGTGAAGCCAGGGCGGTTTGCTGGAATGGCAAACACTGCTGGTACCGTGTTTCCTGTCAAATAAAAAAAAGAGTAGGCATTGTAAATAGCTGAGATTTTCAGTTGTAAATCACAATACAGTGCTTATGAAATATGGGCTTCATGTTTATTTGTTGAGGCTTTTTGTTTGGAGTTTTGGGTGGGGTATTTTTGTCCCACCTCTGACTAGTGCAACTTCATAATGCTGGGAAATATTGGAGAAGGCAAGACTTGAAGTTGTCCTCATAACCACGTACAGCCTTCAAGTAAAGAGTCTCTAGGACTTAATCCTTGTAACAAATTATCTTTGTCCAAACTTTGATTCATTAGAGAAAAGGCTTTTTTTCCCCATATGTTTGCTTCTTGTATTCAATTTTCAGCTGTTTTTACCATGGATTTCAGTGTAATGCACCTCTCTTTTCACTGTTTACCTAGTCTTTCTTAATATCTATATTATTAATATTATTAGTACTATCTATATTATATTATTATATTATATCAATATTATTTGTAGGTAAAAAAAAACTACAAAAATTAATGACTGATATGTTTAACAGGCTGTACTCGCAACAATTCCATCATAAAACTTCAATGCTTCTGTAAAAAATAGCAAGGTTCTATCCAAGAACGGTCCATGACTGCCATAAATTATGCAGCTAAAACTCAAATAAATATTTGTTGATTCCAAATTTGGCTTATCTCCTCTTGAATAAGATGCATGCATAGGAATATTCAGGAAGCCTCCTGGATTAAAATCCCACTATCGCACTCCAGTTTGTGTGGAAGGAGCCAAAGTTTCAGCCAAATCTCTGGGTATGGTCACATCTGCTTTCAGGGAAGGTTTATTCCTGTGGCCCACAGAGATGCAGAGAACAATTTTGGTACAGAGATTATCCACAGGCTGTAACTGGGCTGTCTGGAAGACCAGCATCCTAATGTGCATATTTCCCTTGAAATATTCCCTTTGCTATCATAACTCCATGTATTTGCCTAGTTAAAAACAGACTACAAACCACTTTCTTGCCCAGTTAAGTCTTGCTTCCTCTAGTGTCTATTTACATGCAAAGACAGACTCCAGCAGTGAATCACCAACATCACACTGAGGGCATGAAATCCTCATCCTTAAATCCTCAATGGGACAGCTGCATATCATCTTCATCAGTTACTAGGTTTTCAGTTTATTCAGTTGTACTACATGGACAGGTATTTTACTTTTCAGATTCACAGAATATAGCAAAAATAACATCATTTACATGAAAGCAGTAAACCCTTTAAAAACACAGCAAAGTATAACTCCAACATTTTCACTGAGGAATGGAAGCACAGTAACATTATACAGCTGGGCAGATTCTCTGTACTAGAATTAATGCAGAGAAAATAAAATTTCTCCCCCTTCCAACTGCACATCATTTGAATATTGCTACTAATTGCTCTCAGCAGCTATGATACCACTATGCTGACAAAATGGGAAGGCCCATGAAATTCATATGGAGTATAATTGAATTAGCATCAATTACTGGCTGCCTCAAATATCCATCCCCCAGAATCTCATTTACAGCCCTGGCACATTTTTTTGCTCCCGAACAATCTACAGGAGGGTTATGTTGCCTCCTCTGACAGATGCTGGGACATTGCATGGGCAGGTGCACAGAGACAGAAAGACCCCACCAGTGACATCCATCCCCAAAGCAGTCTCCATAAACCCAGATATTTACACTTTCTCAATGACTTCCCACAGAGTCCCAGGCCAGAATTGCTATGGATACAGTCAGGGCATGAGAAGGGGAGTAAAATATGGTTTGTAGCACATTTTTCTCCAAGCAGAAACACACCACCTCTATCCCAATTCCTCCAGCCTCATGGTTTGGAAGAGGGTGGGCTAAGAGAAGAGGTGTGGTCAGTCATTTGTCCTTCCAGGTCATAAACAGCACAAGGGTTGCTTTTTAAAATTAATTAGCAAGGCTGAAAATGAGCATTCTTCACACATGTACAGGGAAGTGCTGCTCCTGTACATGGCACATGGCTTCTACACCAAAACATTCTTTTAATTTAACCACTTACAACTTAAAATGAATATTCAATTGGTTGATGTCATACCTCATCCTAAATTATTATTGCAAAGTCCTTATCTTAGAGCTGATGTTGGGCTGCTTGAGAGTGACATTAAGCATTAACATCCCAAATCAGCACCTGCAGCAATGATTCTTCATGTATTGAGGCTATAAAAACTTATTTCCATGTCAGAATGTTCGAAGCCTGGTATTACAATTGCACATTTCTCACAATTGTCCTTGTCTTTACTTGCTTGTATTACAGCCTTTTGTAGCACCTGACATATATGAAAGTTTCCTTCAGTTACTCCCAGAATTATTCTGGCAAACTCCACAATGTACAGGAAGGTAATTTTGTCTCTTCTGAACTGCATCCACCCTTCAGCAACACACAGCAATAAAATCTCCCCATCACTGGATCCAATAAAAAAGTGTATCCCACTGATCCCATCACTGCACACATAAAGAAGAGGTCTAGGTAATGTGGCATATTTCAAAGCTTGAAATGTTTTGAAATGGGAGGGTGAGCATCTGCTCCTTTCAGGTACTGCACCATTTGCAGAAGGCACGACAAAAATGAGAGCAGAATGGATCCTTCAAAGCTACTGTATTAAATTAATTGACAGCTCATTTGCTTATGATTTTCAGCCAATTGTGTCAAAGACAGTGCAGATAACTCTCTATTACTTCTGAGGAAGCTAAGAAAGAATTTTTTTCTGGCAAATTAACAGAGCAATATCTAACAAACTACTAATTTCAAAGCTTTGAACTAATGGAAAATTCTTTTGAGTATTGTAAGCTCTTTTCCATAACTCTTCAAGAAAACACATTTTGCCAATAAGAAGCCCATTTAAAATATTTTTTTTCAGCTAAATTTTATCCAGACACCACAAAAACAGTATATCAGCTTCATATAATGATTAAATCAATAATTTATAAATACAACTCTTATCAAAGGACCAGGAATTGACTAGGCCTTTAAAACTAGGACTTTTAGACCCGAAACAAGTTCTCCAGAAACTATATACTCCAGAACAGGAGGGGTGGAGAGCTAACAGATTACCTTTGACTGTGCAATAGCACCACTGCTTTGTGTTTTGGAGGGAAGGGGCCATGTACCTTCAATTTGCCTTCCTCAGTAACCCACTGTTGTGACAAGAGTAGGGGTTAAACTTCTCAAGAGGAAACAGGGATCAAGCACTTGGATCAATATTCTTGGCTGAAAAAATATTGGACTATTTCTCCCCTCATTTCTCCCCCATTGCCTGTCTCTCCCACTTTCCTTGGTTAGTACAAAGTGCAACAAAAACAAGTCACACAGCAGTCCCAATACTGCAACTGATTTTGCCACCAACACCCTCTATATCCTCCCTAAAAATTCTACTGCCTTTTGCTGTACAGAGGAACAGTTTTATTGGGTTTTAACAATTCAGAGTCCTGATTAGTGTGCCAGAAGAACACCATACTTGAACAGAGAATATCTGGGACATTACTGCTGGATCCTACCTTCAGAAAAGGCCATTTCCTGGTGCTGCTGCAGGATGAGTATTTTGGGATGCAGCTGATGCTGCACTTACAAAGGGATAGGCCATCCTCTGGAGGGCTCCTTCAGCTGCACCAGGAAAAACCCCACCTAATAGTCTTTTCCCAAACAATCATCCTTTTTTCCTATATCCCATACTTTCATTTGTATCCAAAATCACTTATAAGGCTCTCAAAGCTCCAAGTTGAATCTGCACTATTTTGTCACCTGAGTGAAAAGCCGATTGATCGAGTGGGCCAACAGACATGGGAGCTCTGGAACCCGCTGCAAAAGGTGTCTGGTCATGATGCTGGGCCTGGTCTGCTCCACTGGACTCAGGTATTCTCACTTTGCTGCCAATATCTGATGTAGACCTGTGCATTAAGAAAGAAAAAAAATACAAACTTTTGTCATTCTGACCTACAGATGGGATTTGTAGCCACATACACACCTATCAGCTACAGCAGGACCAGCCAGCGAGGAGCAATCTGTCCAAATTTGCTCTGGCAGGATAGAAGTTTGGAGAACAACTGCACAACAGGAGTTTGGAGAAGTCTGGAGAAGTTTGCAAACAACCCTTTTAGCCTGGTTGCTGTTTTTACCAAAATATGTTATTACCATCCTGTAGGGTCTTTGCTTGCTGCTTCGAACAAATGCCTGTGAAATACAACACTAAAACCAGAGCTTTACCATCATTCACCAGAGCTTTACCATCATTCACCAACTCTCTACAGTGTACATGACATGGTATCATACAGTAGGAGACCACTGTGGTAAATAACATTACTGCACTGGGGAAGTGCCAAGGACTTTGGAAACGTTGCAAGTCCAGGAAAGCAGAAAAATGATAGTGTGAATTATCTGCCTCAACACACCATTGTGAGAGCTGAGCAAAGAATGCTTTAAAAGAAACAAGAGCCTGCAGTTCCTGATTTTATTGACACAGACTGGCTAACAGAAAATTCATTTTAATTTCATTTTGTGTTAAAATTAAATAAAACCAATATGTTTCTAATTTCATGAATGCATATTTTAAGTGCCTTATAAGTGCCCCTTCAGGTTTTGCCCTGGTTCTTATTATGACAGTGGGTTTTAAAGACCACGCCTAAAGTAAAATAACAGATAAATACCTCCTGAGAGAGGCAACAGCCACAGGACCCGTTCTGGGAGGGACAGGAGGGGGAGGAGAACCCATTACCATCTCAGGAAGCTGAGAAAATCTATAAGCCTGCAACAGAGAAAAATAAATATTTTCTGAAACACCAGTAGATCTCAATCAAATTGAAAAACAAACCAAAATCAGAAATTAAATGCTTGCTCTGTGTGCCAGCCAACTGGAAGTTAACTTTTTGTGGCATCAACAATAATTGGAATTTACAGTCCTTTGATAACTTTTGAGTGTGGAAGAAAACCTGAAAATTAGCTCAGAGACAATATGAAGTCTAATTAAAATAAAATATATTAAACACTGTCTCTGTGACATTTGGAACCTGCTGGCAAAGCAGAACTGTTGTGATTATGTGAGACTCAACAACTGCTTTGGATTATGGAGAAAAGACCTGAGTATTTTCACTTTTTCCAGGAAAGAAAGTATTTCAAAGATTCAGAAAGAACCCTCAGAGCAGTGTGTACTGCGGTGAAGCCGCCTGTGATCAATCAAGTATTTCAACCTCTTCCTTTCAGTCTTCAAGAGATGAAAAGAAAATTTTCCACAAAAACCCCCAAGTTCTGTAACTTTCCAAAACAGCAACAAGGGCTCCAAACAGTTCTGGAAAGGCAGACTGATCCAGAGGAACACCAGGCCCAACCCACAAAATCACAAAATCAAGCAGCTTGCCTGCAGTAATTCTGAATTTCATCTCCAATACATGTGAAGGAGGAGCAATTATGTGCATGAAACCCACAGTACCCAAGAAATGACATGAAGGACAAAATTTTCCTCCTAAATTGCTTGCACTACTACAGATTAGAGGCCATAATTTTTCCAAATACGCTTAGAGGAATGATATCTCACTAGATGCTTCACTACATCATGGGTGAGGGTTTTGTTTTCCTATTGGTTTTTGTTTTATGATTTAGTTGTGATTTTTTTTCAGTTGTAGTTGGCATGACAATACTTCAGAGCAATGCACAGGAATAAAGATAAAAATCAGAGGAATAACAAATAACAAATTTTGGAAAGGCTGACCACTATCAAGACACTGACATTTTGACTAAAAAAATGGAGTCCAATGGTGGGACTTTGGCCCCCTAAAAAAGAAGTATCTGGTTTACCCAGAGAAGCTCCTCCACAAGCAGCAGTGAAAGTTAAAAGCACATTAAAACACATGGAATGAGTCACACTCTATCTCCTGCCCAGAGCAAGAGCCCACAGGATTTACATGATTATTTCAGACTTACCACCTACATTTAGATTGGAATTTGGCAATATAAATCCCACACTATATATCAGAAAACACTATCTTTCTGTAATCATCTTGTAAAATTACACATTTAGACCATATTCCAAATGCCTTCATTCTCAAATACCTGCAAAACTAGGTCAACAAAAAAGTAACTTATCAAACTGATTTTTTATGTGTCTCCTAGGGAAAAGCGCATATACCCAGCATCTTTTTCTGTCCTTTCACTGCTACCCCTTTAAAGCAGGTTAGAAACCCTCAAAGGCATATCTCTGAAAAGAATTTTTTCTTGCATGACACCTACAAGTTCTCCTAATATTTACTTTCACCATGCCACCATGATATTTAAAGCATTTCTACATTTAAGTGGGGGAAAAAAAAAAGTCTAAAAAGACAATGCTGCATTTCTTAGCCAGGGCTTGGAACTAGTGATTTTTAATGAAAGAACTGTGCGGAAAAAACAAATGTTATTCGCATCAAAGAAAACCTGATTTATATTTCTCCTGATAGTGCTGGATGAGGAATGGTCTGCAGTGCCTCTTCTGCATCTCAAACTCTGGCAGTGCCCTCACAGGCTGACTGAACTCTCCCTTCTGGCTCCACAAGCCTTTCCTCCCACATCTTGCTCTCAGCATGCATTTGTGCCAAGCATGAAATCCTTTTTATTCCTCCTATTTTAAAGGAACAGCACATGAGATAATGTTTCAGGGTGGAAAGTGACTCCAGACACTGTTTAGCAGGGTAGGCAGAGACTCAGAGGAAAATTTGGGTTTCCTCTTGTGTGTTGTGCTTTGGAATATGGACATCAAAGGAGGTATTAGGTATTTCAGGGGATCACAGTTTACAAATATGCTGCAACTTGCACTGGAAATTTTGGGGGAAAAAAGGAAAATAGAAAACCTAAGCCTTTATTTTGCTGCTTACATGGGAGATGAAGAATTTTGAGTGAGTGGCAATATTTTGCTAATGGCTGGGCAGAGAGAATCTTGTTAAAGTGAAAAATCGTGTAAAAAGATCTGCTCCACCACGCTGAGGAAATGTTTGTCCAGAGGGGACAGGAGTCACCCTCGTTGCCCTGAGCTGCCACACACACCAACATGGTTGCGGGAGGGAATTTCAGTGCAATTTCCAGAGATTCTCTAATGGTTTGGGGCATTAGTGTTTTCCTGCAGGAAATATATGAATGGGAAAAAAGTGTTCAGAAGCAAAATGAAATCTAAGTTTTACCACAGATGCCTGTTAAAGATTTTTATGAACCTTTAGGCTCTTGGCCAACCAGCATGATTGTAGAATTAAAGTCACTTCACCACTGTGAAACGAGTCAGAGAGGAAAACAACAAACAAAAAACACAACCCAGCTGATTTCACAGATTTGCCTAATTTTACTCTTCAGAATATGTTTATCTTTTTTAAATGATCTCTTGGTTAAAAAAAAAAAAAAAACCCACAACCCAACCAGACAAATATCAACAAATTAAGGAAAAACCCAAAGAGAACAAAAGACAAAAATCTAAGAAGGAAAACATTCTGCATGGGTTCCAAACTCTATTTTTTGAAAAAAGACAATGTGTGTAATATAAAGGCTATAACAATCAGGCAGAAGTAATCCCACTTGAGATCCAGGACAGACTGCAGAGGTAGCAGAGTGCAGACCCCATGCCACCCTTTCAGTAAGAATGCCAATGAAGGAGTCTGCTGTGGCTAGAACACTGACAATTGAAAAAGCAAATCAAAAATTAATTTTAAAATGTAGGAATTGCATTTTAACAGCCATTGGGCCAAGGATCATAAATCCTCTGGAGGATAAAGTCCAGCCACCAGCAGAAATCTGCACCATTGTCTGCCACAACCCACGACAGCCCAAGGTACCACCTGTCAGGATACAGAAAAGAAAAATCCCAGAATGGTTTGGAAGAGACCTTAAAGGTTATCTAGGCCCCAGCCCCTTCCAACAGGCAGGGACTCCTTCCACTAGACCAGGTTGTTCAAAGCCCCATCCAGCCTGGCCTTGAATACTTCCATGATGGGCCATACACAGCTTTTTGGGGAGCCTACTCCAGTGCCTCACCACCCTCACAGTACAGAATTCCTTGCCCATATCTAATCTAACCCTGTCCTCTGTCAGCTCAAAGACATTCCCACTTGTCCTCTCACTCCATACCCTTGTAAAAAGCCCCCCTCCAGCTCTCCTGTAGCTCCTTTAGGTACTGGAAGGTGCTCTAAGGTCTCCCTGGAGTTGTCTCTTCTCCAGGCTGAACAATCCCAAGTCTCTCAGCCTGTGTTCATAGGCCAAAGAAGAAAACTTGCAGTTAGTTTTAAGACTACATTTCCCTAGTTCAAATATTTAAATATTTTTACTGCCTTCCACTTACAGATTGGTCCTGGGTCAAAGTATTCTATGTTGCCTTCTAATTACAGAAATATCAATCTCCTTACATCTCACCATAGGAATTACAAGGCCAGCATCCTTGTTAACTCATTGAATGATTTATCTTGTTTATTCATCCAGGAATAATGCAAATTCATTGATTTGGCTTTGCCTTTATAGCTGCCCTGTTTCATACTAAGCAGCTGTTATTGAAAGTAGCTGAATTTTGAATGAATTATTAAACACCTGAATCCCCTGCTAAATGAAGGGGAGCTCTGAGGACAGGAATACTTTACCAGCCATTCAGGCTGTAAGTGCTGGGCATCAGTGCCTGTTTGTGGTGCTGGGTCTCACCTTGGGACCCAGAGCTCTCTTATTCTGACTCCTCTTTCCAGAGCACTAAAGAGGAGAGATGGGAACTGCTCCAGCCTTGTGATGAAAAGGGTTTTCTTCTCCAGTCCCAGCTCTCACTTGACTCAGCTGAGCAAATTTCCAAAGCAAGCTTCCAAACATGATCAACCAAGGCACGGAACTGGCAGTCCGGCTGGTGTCACACATTCAACCCTTTAACTCCATCCTCCAGTCATAGCACACCAGCTGGGTGCCAAGGACTCAGCCAAGTGTTACTCATCATGTTTTGGAAGCTCCAGAGCAACAGGGAGAGTTTGCATTTCACTGGCTTTCCTTTGCCAGGAGAAGGCATGAGCTCCATGTGGAGGAATCCTCTTTTCACAGGTTCCCCAACAGGCATTCCCTCACAAGAGCTACAGATAATTTCAATATTAATGGCAGCACGTACAGAAAACCCCAACCAAACAAATAAAAAACACAAAGACCCCAAAAGGGAGAAGAAAATGGAAAAGGAAAAAAAAATGTGTGCACACTCTGGAGAGATACACAAATGTTTCATGGTGGGACTAGCCATGAAGTTGACTACAAAAAATTAAAGATCCACAATTTGGAGAACACCTGAAGCAACACAGAACTAAAGAGTGGCTCTGGACCCCTCTGCACTTGTTGCGTCTAAGCTGACAAAATACCCTTGAATTTTCAAAGATTAAATTTTCATTTTCAAAATGCACAGTGTTTTTAGTTGTAACAGTATTGTTGATGTTGACTTCTAATTGCCACTAAGAATTGAATTTTAAGAAAGGGAAAAAAATTACTAATTTTTGGTTTACAGAGGTAACAAACATGCCAGTGCACAGGTACCTCTCATCTGCAAAGCTGGGGATATTTTGAATTCCAACCCTCTATTCCCATGAGAAAAAAAAACAGAAAATAGGGTGGTTGAAGCACAGTGCATATTCATGAAACTGATATGCAGAAAACTATGAATTACCAGCCCTTATGCAAAGCCCAGCAGTCTGTGCCTATCCTCATCTGTGGCAATCAACTCTCTCCAGGGAATTTAAATCTGTCTTCAGAATGCCAGAAAGATAAGCAAGAGGTCCCAAACAGACAGATGATTTAGGAGAGTAATCAGTCTTAGAAAGACAACAGTGAATCATTCACCATGAGTAGAGTGCCTATTATATTTTTTTCAAAAACCTCTCACCATATAATATTTTAAATTTCATTTTAGAAAGATTCTTTGAAGTGGTGAGGTCATTTGACTCCTCATTAGTTGTCTCTTAAGCTTTTAATCAAATTCTAACCATAAAATATGATTATATGCTGTACGAATTTCATCGGACCAATTTCAAAGTGCCAGAAATAACCTTAGCATGATTTAAATAGCACCAACCTGAGCCTTTGCAGGCAGTGCCACTGGCTTTCAGCTATGTTCAGAATAGTTCAGAAGCAGCATCCCTTAATGTATTTTTTATTGTCATAGAAGGAATTCATGGTAATAGTTATTTTGAACTAGGGACATTTTTCTGCATTTTCTTTTTATTCTAGCCAGAGTTAGGGACTCAAAAAAACCAAACAAACAAACAAAAAAAAAAAACACCAAAAAAACTGACCAACGAAAGCATAAAATGAACAATTTATCACACTGGTACTGTTAGACTGGCTATTTCTTATCTGAAAGCAATCACCTCTGGTTTAGATTTGTATCTGACATAAAAGAAAATATATTGCTGAGCTTCACATTACCATGTGTGGGAATTCAGGGGCAGCTCCCCACGTGAGGGTGTGCACAGTGCTAGTGTCACTGCTGTCTAGACACCTACAAAATTCCATTAACAATTTCCACCCTTGGGTTTAAGTTCCTAATTCACGTATTACTTCTGTGAGGTGAGGACGTGTTAGCTGCTGCTTGCGGCTAGGAATGAAGGATAAAGTCAGTTATAAGGTCAACTAAGAGACCTGTGGAATGAAATCTTCTCTAGATTTCTTCTCTAGAGACCCAAGCCAATAGCTGTAAGTGCAAGACTACCAATAACAGCCCACATTTCATGTTGCTCTTCAGTGGTGAACCTCTCCAGTGATGCAGAAGAGCTGCTGTTCCCTACCCAGATGTCACCACAGTTAATCCATAAAACCACACTGCTTCCTAATATGCATTACCTGAGCAGAAGGAGATGTGCAAACACATTTGGTGTGAGTTCTACAGTACTTCACAGTAACAAACTAAAAATGGAGTCATATTTCTTTCTCTACAAGGCTTTTTAAGGATAAACTGTCCAATTAAGAAATAATACCTACATTATTTTTACTTTTAACTTAATAACTAACTACCTGTGGTTCATAATGTGGATGCCTTTGCCTAATTACATAATGCTACTTAAATGAAGAAGAAGGTGAAGAAGAAGGACTAGCTTCTGTCTTAAAACTTCTATCTTATTTTAAATATGTTATTATATTCTAAATTTTTAAGCTCTAAGTTTTCTACTCTGTGATATTACACACTCCTATTCAAACCATACACTTATAATCTTATTCTATTATTTAATTCTGGAGGCTTTCTCTATTATCTCAGGTCAAATGCAGCATTCTTTTAGGGGTCAGTGCCTGTCAGCACAGAAAGCCTAAAATTCTCAGCAGCCAGGGTTCCAACAATTTGGGATCTGTTGAACAGCCTGCAGCCTGTTCTTTTAAATCTTAGTACAAATTAGACAGGACAACCTTGCTAAAACAGATACTGAGTCTTTCATGCTGTATGTGTGTGGCTCACTCATCCTCCCAACTGCGAAGTCTAGGCTGGTGTCTAGGCAAGCACGTATGTGTATATATATAGATACACATCACCCTACACATACTTATTCTCTGTAAGCATCTGGTTTTAAGCACCTAAATGGGACTACTTAAAAAAAAAAAAAACACATGGCTCAGAACCAAAGCACTGACGGAATCTGTGGTATTTAAATGATCCCGAGATTGTAGAAAGTCTCTGTCTTTCAGCCCCGCTGCCAAAGCAGAAGCCATAATTCGTCTGTGCTGGTTTCAAGGTTGTTTATTCTGTTTATCTCTAACATGTTCTGCTGCCCTGCCGCAGCTCTGTCCTGCAGGGCAGCGTGTGGGGCTCTGCCCTCAGTGGGATGGTACAAACATTAAATACCACAAACTACCTGTGCTGGATTTACAATAACGTGCCAATATCTGTCACCTACGTTGGACAGTGTGTCCCCAGCCTGAACCAACAGAAAAATGCCAACACCACAGTGACACATGGAGGGCATGAAGGAGGAGAAAAAGGACAAGACACACCCAATTTCCTCCATCTTGTCCCCTTTGGACCCCTTATCTAGAATCCTAAAATTTTACTTTTGCACCCGTGCCACACTTAATTATTACTTATATCAAACACTCAGGGCTTGTAATTCATCCTGTAAGATTGAAAACTCTTTTCCATGGACAGAGATCACAGACAGTGTCTCTGGGGGCTCTGTACAGGGGGGTTCCTGACCCCTGCCAGGGTCCCAGACCTGCCAGGGCAGCCAGAGGGAAGCCCTGGATTCCCACAAAGCACCCTTGTGACATTACAGCGCGGTGAAGAGAAGCTGCACTTACGGGCCTTGGCAAGCTGTACTGGTACATTTCTGGCCGGTAGGTGGGCACCCACTGCACGCCCGCCCGCGGCCGGCTCATGGTGCCGGGGGCACTGGTCACCACCTCGGAGTAGGGCAGGTGTGGGGCCGAGCCGTAGGCGTCCTGCCGGGGCTGGCCCCCGTGGCCAGCGGAGGCCAGGCTGAAGGCCTCCTCCAGCAGCATGTGCATCTGCTGCCGCACCTCGTCGATGGACGGCTGCGAGCTCAGCGTCGACGTCTCCGAGTGGCCCTTGGCCTGCCGGGCCCTGCCGTAATTCCGCGGCTCGTTGACGCGGTCAATGTTTGTTTCTTCTATAATTTCAGGCTCGGTCTGGTGGGGGGAAGGAAAGCGTACGTCAAACGCTTTGCAAGACGGCACTCGTGCCGCTTCGACATTCGCAAACACAGATGTAACACACACAAATTGGGAATTGTGACAATGTGGATGTGTGGGAAATGGAAAAAGAGAAACTTCCACAGACACCTTCCACAGGAGGGTTTGATGTGCAGCCTTGGGAGAAGCTTGGATTGATGTAAAAATAAAGTACACAGACATTAAGCAGAAAAAACTTCTGTTTCTATAGTTGTAAGTAAGAATATACCTTAAGTAAGTCAAAAATTGTATTAATAAGATGAAGGGTTTATAAGGTGAAGGGTTTCTAATGTAGAGGTGTAATTGTGTAGAGTAAGCCGAGAGGTTAGAATTATAACAGAAGCATCTGTGTGTACATGTAATAGTAGCCCATTGGATAAAAGTGTCTGCATTGCAGTAGAATTAAGTAAAGGTGATAAGATAGAAAAGCAAAATAAACTTTGTGACAACTGTCCATTGCATTAAAAAGTTATATATTGTCTTGTAACAAAGAACTTTTGACTACACTTGAGCTATGGCTGACAGCTTGCTCTCATAAATCTCATGGCCTCTGAGACTGACGTTCATCTGAGCAATATATCGTTTTTAGCCCAACTGTGGCCCCATCCCTTTAATTAAAGCAGCCATAATAATATAGACACACAACAAATATTGGAAAGAAATCATACGATGCAGGGGAGTATAATAGTCTTTTATATTCCTCACTGTTTGCTGCAAAAAGTAGCAGGGACACTGCAGCAGATTAAGCTGTCAATGACTCACTTAAAAACAATTGGAATTAATGTTTGAATTCTTGTCTTAGTTATGTTATCAATGGCAGTGCAGCTGTGCCAGGAAGAGTATGGTTCCCTAAATAGTGCCATCAATGTGAATGACCCCTTACAAGGGACAGATTATTACAGCTAGAGAGACTGAAATTCCTTTGTTCAGGCTCTCACATTAAGATTTCTGCAGAACTAAAGTTTAGGAGTTTTTCTGAACTTCCACAATGACACCAGAAATTCAAACCTGCCCTTTGCAGAGAACACCCTGGCGCAGCTCAGGGCTCTTACCCAGCCTCCAAACAGGAGTTACAGGTATTTATGCAAAGTTAACTTGGGAACAGGGAATGAAGCACATTTTCCAACGAGCAGAAGTGCTTGGGCAGCTTGGCTTGAAGGGTTACTCCTAGGCTGATTCCTAGGATCTGTACAGATAAGTACAAACAGAAATCTTCTCTTTGGGGTTTTTTTGGCTATAACTCCATGACAGAAAATAATCATCACATTGCAAGAAGTTGATGGTGGAATACTCCACTTCATATGCAATTTGTAAGAAGAATTTTACAGCCCAGAGTTTTAAAAACATATGTTTTAAACCAGCAACTAATTCCTTATAGTTCTTTAAATACCTGTAAAATGCATTGACCGTGAAGGATAACTGGGATGAGCAATAGGATGTGTGCCTCCTTCTATATATAGCATGTGGTTAGAAACTGTGCTAGTGTTTAAAATAGCCATAAATAAAAGAATACAGCAAGATGTTCTTGTTAAAATTTCCAACAGTATCCTGATCATTTCAGTGTTCTGTAGCTCCTAGTGTAGCATATTTTTTCCCCCTGTAATAGTGCTTTTCTACACCTGAATAGATAAGCGACTGCACCCCCAAGTTTTTACAAGCTATAGGACAATCATAAAATATATTTATTCCTTTTTGGAGGGAAATATCAAACTGGTGTTCTTCTTCTGTTGTCAGCTACTCAGAAAAGAGTCACACTGGTAGTGAAAACTGATAATAAATCTAAGTAAAACTTTTATTTCCTTTCTCTATTTTAAGTATAGCTATATTTTCTATTGAATGAAAGTATGGCAGTAAAAAAAAAGAGAAAAATTAAGATAAAAGTTAAACATTTGCACATTAGAATTTAACCATAATTTACATAGTCATGGTTATACAGTATATTATCTAAATTCAAAACCACACACTGAAATTCAAGCTTCCCAAGTGGTATACACATCAGACTGGGGAGAAGGGGAATGCAACTGCACCAAATGATCTTAAATGGAAAAACTTTGTAGGAAATCTTCAACTAAAAATTCTTCCATAATTTCATTCCTTCATTTTGACTCCACTGGTGTTTGTGTTGCTACAATAAATAAAAATCAGACACATTTTAGAAAGCTGACTATAAAATGCAATGGTAGTTTGTGTAAGTGCAGCCAAAGAGCCCCTGAAATCATAATGTCCTGACTGGATGATTAATAACTATGGCTCTTCTATTTGCTCATGCTTGCAAAAATGTGAGTGGAATCCTACATAGACCTATTAGTGCCCAATGCTGAAATAAATCAGGTTATCTGCTACAACTTACTGGTGAAGCCATTAGACCCCCACAGAATACTTAAAATATATCACGTGTATACAAGATTCACATTAGCAGTCAAAGTTAAGGCAGCTTCAATTTATCAATATAAAACCTGACATGAAGATTTTGGAGAAAAGTAATAATCATTTCTTTTCCTCATATTTTAAAATCTATTTCAATTCATCCTAACACTTTCTGAGTATTATTTGTTATTTTGTTATCCTATCAACTGAAACACATAGCTATCATAAATAGAGGCCACTATTGCATAACATCATACACAGTTACTGTACAATAGAAGGAACTAGAGGTATATGAAGAAAAAACCAAAACCCTGCAGTGAGAGACAGACTTTCTACACCTCTTGAATAATTCTGCTGCTGCAACTTTATCAATAAAATTCTTTATGGGAATGTTAATCTATAACCTTTGGGATGCATTGTATTAATTTAGCCATATCAATGAAATTCTGCCCATGAATTCTTTTGTATACTGATTTCTTAGAAGTGTATAATAAGGTAATTTTCTTCCTTTTAAGGCAAAAGCAGCCTAAATATTTTCTGGTGTGGTATAAATCTCATTAGAGCAGTCTAGAGGTTCTAGAGTCTTTCGTTATGGCTTTTACTTTACACACAGATGTTCATGAACTTGTTGAAAATAATAAACATGTTAATAAGTCTCCTGCATCTAGTTCCTAGTTGAAGGTGATGATAGTAAAGCCCATTGGGATTCTTTAAAATGGAAAGCTAGATATTGTTCAATAATGATTCATTTATAAAAGACTCTATAAAGGCAAATAATATACCAAGAACATCAAGCTGTAGAATGTACACTCCAAAGTAATATTAAAAGCTACATATTCCATATGGACAAATGTAAAATATTTTATCTTTATCCTCATATCTTTACCAGTTTTTAGCTCTGAGAAACAGAACCACAATTCAGAGAAATATCACAACAATTAATTATAGAGAATGAAGTATTTTTAGAAAAGTATGAATGAAGTATTTTAGAAAACCATTTAGAAATTTGTTATTGAAAGGAAACCTTGTGGTTGTGCACATGAGTGAGGCATTCTTAAGGAGTTTTCTTGAAGAATCTAGGAGATCTCAATCTCTTTTCTTTAAATTAAAAGCACTGTAATTGTTAGGAAGAAAAACCTCAAAACATAACCTGTATATACTGGTAACAGCTCAAATTCCCCCCACAACTTTTTATGCTGTAAAAAAAGTCTCCTGACATGAAAGCAATATAAACTATTTGATTCATAAATTGAATTATTTGGCACTGCTTATAAAATGCAGGTTCCACTATTCTTTGGCAGGACTTGCTGCTAAATAACATGCTGGGAGGAAGAGGTTGGCTGCAGTCTGAGAAGGCTGAAAGATTTAATATGACAAATCAGATGTCAAAAATGGGTACCGGGTGTTGCTGTGTGAAACAGAAAGGGCACAAGAGCCAACACTCAAAGCAGCCCTTTCTCACCCATTTTCAGAGGTCGGATTTCCAGAGGTGTTTAGCTGATGAGATCCATGAATTCCATGGATGCAGCCATCAGTGGTATCCTGGGAGATGGAGCCTGTCAGACACAGCTCCGAGGAGCCTCGAGCAGGAGTGGGGGACCAGCCCACGCTGCAGGCTCAGGCTTGGCAGCTAAATTTCAATATCCTGTCCCATTTCCCACAGCATTTCTGTGCTTTCAGATGGGAAATGTGTTCAGAGCTGGAAGAGGTGCACTGCAGTGAATCTGCAGTGCATCAGGCAGAGGGATTTTATGTAACTTAGTAAAACACTGTGCCAGGGACAGGTCGCCCAACTGCAGCACCAAAGGAAAGGCAAAAGCAATTTCTTCTGTTGTGTGCACACATCTCAGAGCTTATAATTACTCTGAGAACCCTTCAGAATCTGCATAAGCTTATTAATCTACTTCCAAGATTTTTAACAAATTTTCTTTAAAATATGGTTTATATATAGCATACACACAATATATTTAAATATATTTCTAAAATCTGCTGCTGTGCCTGCTCCCAGAATGTTTTCAACACTGATTTCCAGGGAAATATCCCTTATGAAAAACTAGCTTTTATTAGCATAGTATTGGCATCCTAATTGCTCAGAAAGCAGTGTACCAGTCAGCCCACTCACATGGCCCCACATGACTCCTGCAGTCTGATGGGAAGTGTCCAAATGCAGGGAATCATTTCAGAAATCTAACAACTACAACCTCTCCTGAAGAATTTTGTAGAAGGTTTAAACTTTCCTGAACACATCCCCCCAACTTTGGTACTTTCTTCTTTCTTTCTCCTTGCTAAATACACATTCCTGGCAGAGAGAGGGTTGAAAATTAAACACCACCACCCCCACGCCCCCCCACCGTCCCACAAAAAGAAAAATATTTTTCACCTACAATGTTTAGAGGATGGACAACCACAGGTGAACTTCCTTGTTTTCCAGAATGTTTAGACCCTCTCTAGGGACTGATCTTTAGGGCTGAGCTATAGCAGTTTGGACACGTGACAGAGGATTGAAAAACTCAACATTTCCCCAACGTGGGGCTATTTTTAATCCTCCTTCTGGGTTCACACGGTGTCAGCTTGCACCCAGTGTTTGTTCAGACTGCACAAGACAACTCCTCTGCCTTGTGCTGGGTGCATGAGCTCCTTGGACCAGAAAGAAACATCACCTCTGGCTGGGTTTGACATTTACCTACACAAAACTCTCCCAGTTCTGATGGGAGCAAGAGGATCCCTAGAGGATTTCCACAAAACACTGACATTGGGACTGAGGTGAAAATCACAGAAGTTGGCTGTTCATTCTTCTGAATCAAGAGGCTGTTCTTCAGAACAAACAAAGGATTTTAATTGCAATGAAGAAAGCTCAGTCAAATAGTCACACACTTAGAAGAACTATCTAAATTCAAAATTTAATAATTTGGTAAATAATGGGGTTTGGGCAAACATTTTGTTTGCACTTCAGACTGTAAAATGATGTAGAGTGATAAAGTACATGAAAGAGTCTGAGCTTTTTTCAGGCTGCTGAGTGCACATAAACTCCTGTAACACTAAATATCTCAAGTCTTGTGGCTTACCAATAGTTCCCTGGGTTTAGGAGCAAGCTCAGACTGGGCTGAGCAGATTTCTCTGCCCATAGCCAATAAACTTACATCATATCCACTGTTCCGGATGCCACGCCTCGGCCTTTCTCGAGTCACCAGGAGATCCATCTCAGTTTCCCCTGGGCTGGGACTGTTCAGGGACTGCCTGCTTCTGTACACTGAGTTCTTCAGTGGCTGCCTAGAAAACACAAAATGAGAAAATGGTAAAATGAAAAAAAAAAAAAAAAAAAAAAAAAAGACAGGCAGAACTTGTCAATATTCACCTTTATTTTAAAATTATGATGTTCATAAAAATGCTACTTTGTTACGGAATATTCTTTCTACATATATGAAGTGCTAGAAATCAGTAACTGTATTAAGAGATGATTAATAGTTTTTTTTATGGTTTAAGGAAAATAAAAGTTATATAAAAGACACGGACATTGTATGTGGGAGCTTGTCAGATGAAATATGTCCAAAGAAGATATCAGGACTCTTTTAACTTCAGCTGATATGATTCAAACTCATTAAAAAAAAAAAAAAAACATATAAAAAATAACAGGATCTCCCACACACACAGATGGGGAGCAGAGATTTTGGTTGCTGATCCTGAGCGATGAGACAGAAGCAGAAAAATGCTCCACTGAAACAAACCTCCAGCAAAGGGAAGAGACACAGCAGTGGGAGGAAACTGCTTGCAAGATGCTGGTTTTAAATAGCCAGTTTGGTAACTGGCCACAGCTTTCTCAGAGGGCTGTGCTTCCTGGGACTCAGCTGCTCCACTGGGACAAAGTGCTGCTCATCCCTGGGCACTGAGCTTCCACTGCTGGCTGCTCCAAACCAAGGGGAAGCAAATGCAATAGAATGGCAGAATAAAACTGAATATCCAAAATAATCTCTCCAGCAAAACCATTTCTGCACTTGTTGCTGTTTATACAAAAATAAATGCAGTATCCCTCTGTGAAATACAGAGCATTTCTGTACATATCTGCAGGAGGGTTTGCCAAATGGTGGTACAGGAACTTTATGCTTCATCAAGCTGCATGTTTTAAGAAGGCTACTTCTACACTAGCAGAGTTCTGAGTTGTTCTCATACTGTATCAGGCCATTAACTTTTTGTAGCACTCTCCAGAGGAGCACTGGTCCTGGAGCAGATCAGTAACAGATGAAATAATGGCATGGCAGCTTCATTTATTAACACAGCAATTACACTGCTAGAGCCTGATACAAAGTTATCTTTGCCTAGCAATGCTATTTTTCTGCCTTGTGCAATTACTCCATTCAGAATATTAAAATTAGATCAGGTCATCTAACATGTCTCTGTGCTGTTTATTTTACACAGAGGACCTGCCAAGGCTCTTGGTGAAGTAAGACAAGTTGCACTATTATGTCTGAAGTCACATTTTCAAGTCACTCCATGGTTTAACATTTCAAGAACCATCAATGAAATGAATAGACAAGACAGTTCAAATTAATTCACTGATAAATAATTCTTCAGTTATTCCAGATCTTGTTAACAGCACTTTTTGCCTTGACAGGTTAGAGCAGCAGAAACTGGTTTGCAGAAATCCAGAAAGTAGGACATTTACATGATCAGACAGGATAAAAGGTAGGACAAAAAAAAACCCAATTTCACGCTTCTGATTAAATAAATTACTCAGTCATGTATTTAGTTTTGAGGCAACTTTCCAAAACTTCTGTGTGACCTTTGATCACAAATCACCATGCTCATGTTTGAAAGTCCCAAATACACTGCTAAAGCAGAAGGCAAGCAGAGCTTTTGGAGTAAGTTGCCCCCACAAAAATAATACTGAATAAATTCTTTCTTCCTATATGGTTTTTCTCTGACTATACCATTGATATTACCAGAAAACAGGGTTATGCACAGGGTTATCAGATCTGACAATCTTCATCTTCTTACATCAAAGGTCTCCAAAAGTTCATATGTTTTACAATAGGTCCAAAAACACTTAGTTGAGGCAGTTGTGATATATTTTCTAAGGGATTCAAACACACAGCTCTGTAAAACATGCAGATTCTTGACCTGATTACAAACTATTAAAGAAAATCCAAGAATAGTGCATATCATCAGTAGGCTCTTAAAAATTACCTTGAGATTGCCAATTACCTCATTTAAGAGAGTTTTGCTAATGAGAAAGGAGGTATGAACAGGAACAACTGGCATTCAAATGGGTTAGGAAGTGCCTTCTGGGAATGTTTTAAAACATGAGGACTGAAAGGCACCTAGAGCACAAAGCTCTTTGTTCAGGAAAAAAAATCAAATCATTTAGCAGCAATGCTTTGTAAATCACTTTTAAATACAATTTAAAATCAATTCAAAATATAAAGGTAATCTTAAGTAATCAACTGCATCCCTATTTTCTGATATGTTTTGGAAGTGCTGTAACTATGTGACTTAAGTTAGAAGAATATATACAAAACAGAAGAGAGTAGAATAGACCTTTTCCCTAGAAATCTTTGACTTAGTTTTTAGTGCTATAGTTTTAAAAATTTCAATTTTTTCAAGTTGTAATTGCTGTAAAAATGATTCAAAACAGAAAAAGATAGAAATCTTTTTTTAATTATATGCTTACCCAGATTGCTTTTAAAGCAATTTTATTTCATTACAGAAATGCAATTGTGTTGATTCATTTATGAATAACCAAACCCCACATAACATAATAGTATTTTTCAAGATCTTCCTCCAGCAGTGTAAATTTTAGCCATCTTATTTTTGTTAGAAAAATAATTGTCATGTGTGTTGCAGCAAATCAAATTCAGTTCCAGGTTTTAGTGTGGAAATTTTAGCACAGAATTTAGAACTTTGTTTGTAAACATCTGCAGCACCTATAAAGTTCATTAAGTGTTCTGTCTTCACAGAAAGTGCATCAGAAGTGATTCTCTCTCCTCATGTGGGGATACAGATAATACATTTAACAAGTGCAGCAGCCAGCCTTTCATGGTGCAGCTGGAATCATTGGAATCATTCCTCCACTGGAGCTACCTGCCTCCCAGCACTTTTCTGTCATGCCAGGGATTACTGCCTCAAATAGACGGTGGCAAATTTACACAACCCATTAGAAAACACACAGGAAAAAAACGTATGGGATCTTCCACACACTGGCATGTGAACAAACATCATGTATTTAACAAAAAGCTCGTGGCTGTATTAAAGCTTCAGTTTAATGTTTTAAACACTTCCTGTGAGCCAGGTGACACATCATGAGCATCCAAATTAATGCCTCAATCAGTCACAGCCACACCAGTGTGCTGAGGGAATGTTCCAGCTCCCTGGACTAAATGGATTCCTCAACAAGGGTTCCCAGTGCTCTGTCTGTACCTCCTGGACAGTGTGTAGAGCAGGGCTCTCATGTAAGGACAGGCTCCATTTCTTACCTTCTTGGTGCACAATAAATTGGAAAACTGCACAAGGAAATGGTGCCCCAGGACATCCAGTAAGAACATACCCCACAACTGAATCAGCATCTTTTCTCTTCAGTGACCAGAGCAGCCCTGGGAAACAGCTCTTCCTCAGCCACTGAGCTCTAGATCTACAGAAACACATCTGACCTCAGCTTTTGCCCATATTCTGAGCCAACAATGCTTTTGTAATTCCCATTACAGTCTTTTTCATGCCTGTGCCCCGAGGGTAATTGCTGCAGTTGCACTTTGTGCAATGCCTGTGTCACCAGCAATGCTTTGATTGCAGTCCATTCATGCTCATAAGAAAATTTTGGTCTGAGCTTCCCTGGAGATGGGATGCTAGATTGCACCTCCAGGCGTGAGAGCCATTTCCAGGGGAAAGGTGCTTCAGTATCCCATTTTCTCTCTTGGATCAACTGATGTTAGTCCCTGATTACAGTAAGGGTCCTCCTGTGCAAGGTGTAATAACAAACACACTCTCTTATCATCCTTCATGCCTCCAGAACTTCCAAGGAAGAGGAATCTACACACTGTACTGTTCCTGGGGTAGGACTGGTGCGATCTCCCCTTTCCAATGTGTCATTTTGTGTTTCAGAGAGCACCAGCAGCAGAGCACCCACCCACGGCAGCAGCTCAGGCGCAATCAGCACCTGCACTGCCCCCTCATTTCTAAAATGGGGCTTTGAATGCTACTGCTATGCCATCCTCAGGAGACAGTGAAGTGTTAATCAAGCAGTGGTAATGTTATACAACATGCCAGCTTCACGTGACAGATGAGCAAATTATGCATTTCTCTGTTAAAGGCACAGGAAGATCACCAAGAACAGGCATACACAACATCTTACAGATGCTATCACTGCAGGACGTACAGGGACAACGCACTGGTTCTGTTATCTCATGCCCTCTGCAACAGTTATATTCAGATTAAAGTAATGACAAAATAGTAACACCACTGCATTTCGAAAAAGAGCCAATTCAAATGCTAACTTCCTGCCTAAAGTCTGCTCTGAGTATCACCAATAACACTACCACTTTTTCTGTTTATCTTTCAGAATGACTTACAAGGACTTGCAACAGTCCCTTCCCTTATTTTTTTTCTTTTCACTTGTTTGTTTTTAACCACACCACAGTTTTACCAGAGACGGTTTTCCATGGGCTGTATGAATATTCTTCATAAAGCAGAGGGGACCAGTGACCATACAACAAACACCTGGCTCATTAAAATGCCCCCTCTGACTCCCAGGATGTGAACTCTCCTCCCAGATGGAGAACTGCAAATAAAAAGTCTCACCTGTTCTTAGGCTCAGCAAATGGCGATGAGACATCTGCATCTGGATCCAAAATGTGGTCAAGTTCTTTCTGGTTTTTCTCATACATCCTTTTTCTGTCTGTCAGCGCCTTGCTATTATCAACCTGTGGGAAATCATAGTAGCCTTTCCTCTTGGCTTTCAGGCGCAGCTTGTTGCGGTAGTGCTCTATATCAGACTTCTGCTTCAAAGCCTTGTTCACCTGAAAGGCAAGAAGATGTTTCAGGGCTGCTGCTGGGCTGGCGACCTCCGAAGGGTCTCGGCATGTGTTCGATGCGCCGCGTGTGCCATCCCTCTGGAGCACACCGTGCCATCTGCAAGCAGCGAGGAACTGCAAGTGAACAGAGCCGCTGCATTTTTATGGCTTGGCAGATGGTTAAATAATTTTAGCCTAAAAAACTGTGCACCATTACAATAGTGACTCAGAGACACCCACTGAGGAAAAACACGAGTGGTGTCAGCCAACTGCCGTGACCCAACGCTGCGCGTGATTCGGGGCACGGCTCACCTGTGAAAACTCTGCTGGGGTAAAGAGACATCCCCCTGACTACACAAAACCTTAAATAAGTCACCAATGATGGCTGGGGAAGAACTCCAGTGAAATGTCATCAAATGTTTATTTTGTTTATGCACTTTCTTATGGGCTTCTGTCAGAGGGGAATCTTAAAAAAAGGGGTGCTTGGTCCATCCTGGTAGAGCTTAGTCCCATCGTTTCTCCTGAGTATTGAAAAAACTTCCCTCCTGCTTCAAACTGCAAGTTACTTGGAAATCTGGAATTTACTTGAGCTTTGTGCTTCCAGAGTCAAATTCTGCAGTCTTCCTAAACTACAGGAGGTGTGTGTGTAAGGGTGCACACAGCACCAGCAGTGTCATCCTGCTGCCTTACAGAAAAGAGAAGCTGAAAGCCAAATAAGCCTTTTTCCAAGCTTGGAAGCTACATGGCACATCAGGACTTAAAATGCAAGTATGAAATGGAGCACAACAGGCTGCAATAATCCAGGCCCACATGGGACTTATGCTCTTTTACAGTGTCCCTGGCAGCAGCCCTCCCTGCTGCTTTTAAACTGTTTTTAGCTGTTTACATGATGGTTGCAATGTGAGTTCGTAAACAAGGCACCTCTGTGGCTTGTTCCCATCATGTTCAACTACTTCATAAAAGCCTCAGTCCTTTGTAAATGGTCTGGTCTTGATTAAATCTACATCAAAACATGAGCATAAGTATTGCAGTCAAAGCATGCTTTTTGGCCAGCATCTGGAGCAGACATATGTGCCATCCCACTTTTTTCCTTCTCAACAACTGCACCCTCTGTGCACAGGCTGGAGTGCAGAGCAAGGCCATAGTCCCACTGACCCCTTCACACTCTGATTGAGATATATTGCTCAGTACAGAAAGATCAACTTGGCATCCAGATGATCTATGCAGACTTTCATACCCAGCCATAGAATTCACATAGGAAAAGATGTTATTCTGCTTTCTGGCTTCATTACTCACTTTTTCAAATAGGAGAGAAGGACACTGGGAAGGTAGGAATATAGAAAATCACCTCTTCCAAGGTCACAGGCATTCACAGGTGCATTGTGAAACAGCAGATCTTAAATTCTCAGGTCTCTGAGCCCACAGTGCTAATGGAACTTTATACAGCATAAAGGTGAGAAGCTCCTAGCAGCTCTCAACTCTAACAGGCTTAAAATCATTCCACTTGTGGCTGTAGCCAAGGAAACACCTGGAGACACTTCTCAGCCAGTCCTTACCTCCCCATTGATGATGGCAGACTCCTGGCTCCTCTCTGAAGCAGCATGGACAGCAGGGAGGGCCACGGGTTTGATGGCGATGAGCTGCACCGAGCCCGAGGAGGTGTCAAAGGGGTCCATGGCAGACTTGGCGACATTATCAAAGAGAATCCCTCCTTCCTCTTCATCACTCACGGCCACTAGAGCACATCAAACTCACTCAGCACAAAGACACGGACATTTCTGCTGCCTGCTCAAGGGGAAATTCAGCAAGCACACTTTTTGGATTAATGATGTGCTCAGTGCGCTCGAGGTGCAGGCCTGGGAGATCTTTACACCAGGGAAAAACATCCCATTAGATCACAGGAAACACTATATAGTCAAAGGATTGTCTGTCCCTTCCCCAAAGAAGGTTCCAATCCGTGCTAATAAGATGGAAAAAAGGAGAAGAACGAAATGGTATGAAATGACAGGAAAGTTAAAGTAGATGTTTTCCTAGGTTTCACATGGAACCACACACACACACAGGTGGCCATGTGCAAAGGCATCAGTAGCTACACCGGATCAAACCCCAGAGTGCAGCTCTTTTTCTGCCTTTTGCTGCAAAAGCAAGGGCATACTCAAAATTTCCTAAAATAAGTGGGTTTCTTTTTCAAAATGCATTAATGCTAAAAATGCCATTTATTAAAATAAAAACATTTTCTGCTGTGTGTTAAAAATGCTTAAGAAACTGATGGTATCTAATCTTATGTTAATTTTTTGCTTTGCAAGCACTACCTCTGGTCTCTGTGAAGTTAAACTGTTACAATTGCTTAAGAACCAGAAAAAATCTTTAAAATTAAATGGCATGGCAAAGTATCTTTAGTTTTAGATTTCTACATAGATTAGTAACTCTCACACATGCAATTGAGTCCTTTTTCCTTCAAATTTTCTTTGCAAACCTGCATCCCTTTGTCAGCTGTTGAATCTGCAAAATCTTACCTACATTTTGAAATGAAAGAATGACACTAAAGCACAAGCACAAATTCTGCAAAGAGATCCTTGCAAACATTTTTGAATAATTATGCTATTAGAAGGAAGAATGCTTGCTCCATCTCCTAGCTGACAGGAGCAGAGATCCTCTGCTAAAGAACAAAGTGGTCTGCTCTAAATTTATTTCCTCTGAAAATAAACTCTGGTTTAATATTTAATCACTGCACAAATTACAATGGACTTGTATAAACTCAGCAGTTTAGACAGCCAATGATTTAGGTAAGAAAATATTTGACAGCAGTAACATAAACTATGAAGCCACTGAGGAAGCTCATTATCTCTGTCTGTGCTCAGTGTGACTGGAGCTGGCACCACTTGAGCCTTTGAGCAATAGATGGGTTAAATCACTGTGTCATTAAACACTGTCCCTGCAGCTCCACAGAACTGCCCAAACACCACAGAAGCTTCAGTGGGGCTTGAATGGCCCTGATCCAGGGACCACCAGATCACCACAGCAGCAGGACCAGAGAATGAGGGGATCCTCACCTGGCACTGACCACACGTGAGCAGGGAGGCAATCATGCTACAGTGAGTATAAAGGTGAAGTATTGATGCTCTTCTCTGGTGGGATTTTGAAACCCAGTAGCCACAGAGACCTCAGCAACCTGCAGATGCATGGAGTGTCCCCTCAGACCTTGTTTCAGGAGCAGAAACCCAGAGTTTTTTCTCAAGGAAAGATAATTCCTCTAGGACTCATTAAAAGAAAGAAAAATTAAAGGTGAAAAGAATCAGAAACCACAGATGACAGCTAATTTTGATGGGGAGCACTAACACCACAGAGCACTCTCAGTATCAGCTCACTCAAAGGTGAGCACAACTCCTGCACCTACTGCAGTGCTACCAGCATGGAAATGAGAGCCAAATGGGACTAGAAACTGGAATTTAATTCCACCTTACCTTAGCATCTGTTCAAGTAGGTTTTTTTTCCCACTGCCCCTTTTTCACTGGCAGGTGAGCCTGTGCTCTGCAGCCCCTGGCACACTGCTATAATCTGCATTGGCAGGGAACTGCAGCAAGCACTCAGAAGTTCATCCTTTGCTCCCTATCCATCTCCTCCCAAGAGAATTTACAGCAACCATTTATGACATGACTGAACCATAACAACCTCCAAATTTTGACAATCAAATCAAAGCAAGTTCAGAGAAATGCTGGAGAAGTCCTGGAGTGTTTGTTTCTGCTGTGTATCCCTGCCCTGGGCCAGTCCACCCAGCCCAGCATCTCGGCTGGGTGAGCAACTGGCCAGCATGGGAAACTTCCGAAAACTGCCCACACATTCTTTATAGTCACTCACAATAATCACCCTTGCTTATTATAGTTGTCAACGTGGTTTAAAAGTGATGTTTTAAATTTCTGTTTCCAAGCAGATGCATTCCAGCACTATTGAGCACTATTGGGGAGTTCTACTCTTGCCTGCACTGTGTGAGCACAGAGTGATACTCAGAAGCTCAGTGGCAGAAAAGGGCAAACCCAAGCTTAATCACTACTTAACAGCAATTTCCCACCTCTGAAATATCTCCTGCTAGATATCTCATGCCACATGATCCACTGAGATCGCATTACTCCTCCTAACCTTTCTGTGGCCGCAGCACACGAAGATCTATCCAGAGCAATCACCTTGTCTTTCCTCCCCTCTCCCCCATCAAAATAGGCTGGAATGAAGAAAAAAAAGACTGAAATAATTGCACCTAAAAAAAAAAAATAAAACACAAAAAACTTTAATTTGTCTATGAATCAAGTAATCTTCCAACCAAACACCAAAGATTTCTGCTGTCCTGCTCAGAATCAACCATTTGAAAGATTTTGGAAGCCCTCCGAAAAAGAGAATCAATAGAGAAAAAGACATAAAGCCAAGACTTGGGAAACACCTGCAAGCAGGTGGGCATGCTCTGCCTTTTCTTACATCACTCAATTAAGTATTTTTGAAAGTTTATTTTAGATGAAAGGAAGGCAAACATTGTAACCATACCTACAGAATATTCCTGCAGTTTGACAAAGAGCAAGCATTGCCACATATCTAAAAAAGTTCCTTAGGAAAAAGCCCAGGTATCAGTATTTCAAACAGAAATCTGACTCCTGAATATGATTTAATAATGGGGAAATCATTTTCATTATATAGAAAATCTCTATATAAAAAAAAAAAAGAAATAGACTTTTTCTATATCATCCGAGTCATTCCATCAGTCAGATGACTCTCTCCACAAAGATACAAACAGAAGCTTTGAGCAATAAAAAAACCATCTGTTTCTGAAAGATTTCATAGGCCTATAAGTAAAATACAATTTTCCCAACATTATTATCTGAACCTATCCAGGACAGAAGTAGCTCTCTGTAAGGTATTGCAGTGTAACAGAAAACACACTTGTGTACACACACACTCTTCCAGAATTACACCAGCTCTGAGACAGTGCAATGCTAAACCTCTCACAAACAGCACAAATATTGTATTTTCAGAAGCAGACAGCTTCCTGACTAATGGGAGCAGCTCATTATTCCTTCTGGACAGTATTTCCTTGGGTGTAAAGTCTGCTAAATGCTTGGTGATGTGCCTGCGGTGTTGTAGTCCTGGCTTTGCCTGGCATCCTGAAGCAGCAGCCAGCTGAGTAGGTAATTTGAGATCTCCACAGTGGTATTTTCAGATTTCCAATGAAACTGTGTACACAGGGTGAGTATTTGTCCCTTAGCTGCTTGTTTGGTTCCCTTTCTGTGAAGGTTTCCTGTCCTTATCAGCAGGAACAAGAATCTCTCTCTGTGGTTATTTCTTCTCCAGCCACATCTGCCTCATCTTTCTAAATACCAAAGCCTTTCAAAAAGAGACTACACATTTCATAATGTTTCCAGTGAATCCAGCAGCCCCTTTTCTTACCTGACACTTCTGTAATAAGTAGGTGCGTTCACTAATTAAAATAAAATTATTTAACTGACAAGGATGTTGAACACACAAAGACAGGGAAGACATGAGAGCCTACAACAGAAGATTCTTTGAGGAAATGGTTCCCTAGGAGTTTTAAAAACTTTGCAAAAATAGTTTTCTGTTTGCACAATAAAACTGTATATTTGTCTTCTTCAGTGCTGACATATTAGTGAAAAAATCCCAGCCAGCCAGACTGCCACTGGGTCTGATGGCATGAACATCTACATGCTCTTTACACTGCTGCTTGGAAGAAAATTCCTGTCAGACTCCATTAGTGGCAGAGCCAAAGTCATCCAGAGGGGAAGGCAAATGTGAATGAAGAAATATTTAACTGTGTGACCACCTGCAGATCCCAGATCCCTCGGAGATCTGCTGCAACAGGCACCTTAGCAACACAGCATGCAGTATTTTCTTGCCATGAGAACAGCAACCATAAAGAGTAAAAAAAAAAAAAAAAAAAAAAAAGAAATTATATTGAGTAATTCTGAAGAAAATAATCACCAGCAGGATGCTAGCAAGGTCACAGTGCTCTCACTATTTAAAGCAAATAAACAACAAAAACAAGGGCAATGGAAGAAATGGAAACAGTAATGGGAAGAATTAGTCTGTGTCACACAAGCTGAAATCTTGGGAGGACAGGGAATCAATGTGTAAAGCTTCTGTAGAGTTCAACAGCAACTGGTGCCAACACACAGGATTTCAGCTGAACAGGTGGATTTTGTTTATTCTTTGGGATGTTTACCCCCCTTCTGGTTAAATGTAGCAAATTACTCCAAAAAGCCTAGAAATTTGCTGTGAGGAGGTGAAGAATCAGATGAAATCCCCAATTAACAACCTTTTGGGGGCAAATGAAAGTAATGCTTCAGGATGATGAAGAGTAGGCTTCTTTCTCTACACCATAAATTCTTCCCAGCACTCTGATTTCTCAGCCTTTCAAAGACACAGGCATCATGTCCAAATCTGCACAGTTGTCAGGGCTCCTCTCTGACTGGATCTTACCCCCAGAGATCTGTCCCAGTTGGCTGTGACCCTCTGGAAGCAGCCCTTTCCATTCTGACTTGTACTTCACCCAGCACAAAAAGGCAGAAGAAGGGTGTTGGATGTTTGCTGGGATCCACAGCTCCCCCAGCTAACTCTATGTCCAAGCTGCTACAAGACAACGTTGCTGTTGCCATATTTCACTTTATTTTGAGTCCCCATAGATAACTGCTCGGAAATTCAGAAAAACAGGCTCTGATGCTGAGCTGCCACATCAGACAGAGTGAAAACTAGTGGCCCACGCTTCTGTGGAATAAAGAAGGCAATGTCTCATAGCCTGGCTGAGTTACATCCAAAATTCCTTTTGATTTTAGCTATACCAATACTACAGACAAGATTTTTCCCCTACTCTTTGCTCCTGTAGACAGCTCTTGCCTGGACAAAAGAAATTATAGTCTTCAAGACTGATATTTTAAAAAGGAGTGAGGCTCTTGACTGAATGACTTCTAAAAAGTTACTTCTGTTTTCAAAGATGTTGTACAAATGATTGGAAAATGAGAAAATGGTCCAGCTGGAGAAGGTTTTTTATACAAAGAAGTTTGAGTCTTACGGAATGCTGCTTGTAAATCACCACTTGTGGTGATGAGGTTTAAGTATAAACCTGAGCTCAACTACACAACTTCTTAACACAAAAGCTGGGGAGTCATATGCTTCATTGAGAATTGATAGCAAATCACACCTTTTTCTCTAAAAAAAGAAACTAGCACTCACACTCTCCCAAAGATGTTAATGGGAAGGTTGCAAGATCAAGCACTTAAAAGGTTGAAAAACAACCTACATCAATTTAATTGGCTTCATTTAGTGAGGAGCTGCTGAAAGGAAGGGTTGCACTGTGGGCTGCTTTAGTTCTCTAGGTCTGAGTGGGTTCAGCCATTTGCTTCTCCCTGAATGATGTTTGGCCTGATAAATGATGGGTAGAATTGCTAATATCCTGGTCTTCTCTTCCACATTTTCTCACAACCCCATCTCAGAAACTACCAGTACCTCTGTTGGCTGATTTATCCATATTACAGTCCTCTAACATACATAACTGGGTACTTTTTAAAAAATGTTTGGGTTTTTTTAAGTGCCTAAAGTAAATGAATGTAGAACTCATCAACTTTAGAAAGAAAACTTCCTATTAATATAAGTTACTAATAAGTGTTATTAAAGAAAAACATGCCATTATCTTACAAAATCTTACCAGTGTTTGATTCAAGGAGATATTTTATGTTTTCAGTAGAAATAATGCTCAGCTGAAGAGTTCTCCTGATCCTCCAAAGCATCAAGTCCTGAAGCCAAGCCTGTCAGTCTGTGCTGGTTTCACATTGTTCATGCACAGCCCTGACACACTCCATGTGGAGTCACTTTTGATACAAGCCATACAGAATTTAAATACTGAGGTAACATCCAGTGCTGTCATTCCTCCCTGTAACTAAATGTCAGCAAGAAATAGAATCTAAAATTGGTCTGTAACTATGGCAACTAATGAGCCATTCTGACTTGGAGTCCCCAAATCCAACATGTGACCATCAAGGGATTCATTCCAGTTTGAAGATGCTGCTTCTCAGAGAAGAAAATCTGTTGCTGCTTTTGCCAACTTGCCTGCAAGAGCCACCAGCCAGGCTGGGCAGCTGGAGCAGGCTCAGGAAAACAACTGGGAGAAAAGCAGCTTCCTTCTGGAACTGGAAGGAAGAACAGATACCACCTTCTGTGGATGCTGAACACTCTGGGTAAAGGTAAAACCCTGCAGAAAAGCACAAACTGTCAGAGGTGACAACGGTGCTTATAATCACAGCACAGGGGAACAAAGTGCAGGCTCTGTGATGAGAAGTAATTGGTGCCTTGAAGTTTTGGATTTTAATTTCAATTTCCATAGGCATTTGGGACTACACAACTCCAACTCAACGCCATTAATTCCGACAAGGGGAGGCCATTTCATCTGCCATGACCATGTCCTCCTTCTCAGAAGCTGTTCTGAAAGGGTTGCTTGAGGAAACTCTCCTAAACATACATTAAAAGATATGCCTACAGCTAAAAAGTTCCCCTCTCTGTACCAGGGAGCAAGGTACTTATTCCCTTTCATATCTCTGCCAGATGACCAGATGACCCTTTTTAGTGCCATGGCAGTTGAGTGAAGAGAGTTCTACAAGGAGAAGCTGAAGTCTCTGCCAGAAGGGCTCTGCAGATGAGGTGTCCCATGCACAGGTTCCTCCTAAATTATCATGAAATTAAGATTTAAAATGAAAGGTCACTATTTCCTTCCATTACATTCAGAGGTTTATTTAGGTAGCATGTGTATGTTCTAGACATGCACTACAGCCCAGATCAGAAGAAGGATGTTAGGTGTTAGTCAATTCTTAAAAAAAAAAAAAAAAAAAAGAAAACTGGGTTCTTACTGATTTTCTTTTTTCTTTGAAGATGTAAAACCTAACGAAACACAAAATACCTTCACTAAAATATTTTGTCTACCCATGTAAACAGCACTTAGCATTGGTTTGAATATTGGCTTTCTTAGGTGGATAAGAAAAAAAACATCATAAATTACAGCTTTTAACTGTGGAAAACACAAATGTTGTTGTCTTGTAAAATGAGCTACATTTCATATAATGACAAAATAATTAACTCTTTGAAACTTAGAACCTGATAGCCAGTTTTATATTCATAAGGAAAACATAGCTATGGGAACACAGCTATAACTCAGGAAAAATAAGCAAAGAGAAGAAAAGCAAGGAAGAAATGCGATTGGGTACTTTTCTCATCCATCATGAATCATCACTGATCCATCTGGAGTCACAAGGTCACCCCTATCAACTAAGGTCTTGTAAGAAACATCCAGTGTGATATCCCAGGTGCATCAGGAAAAGCTGACAGTGTTAATGACAAACAGGTGTGCCAAGGATGCGAGGAAAGACAAAGCACTGGATGCTTCACACTTTCGCAAATTAATTTTTATCTAATTAATTCATCCTCATCAGATCTCAGCCAGCTTAGCAGCAGCAGAGAAAATTAATATCTTAGGGAACTACAAAACAAAAAAAAAGCTTTAAACCCTACAAGGAAGCAGCATGTCTTCTTAGTTTACTGGTATTCCAAGAAAAAAGGAGGAAAAACAAAAAACCAAGAAAACCTGCGAAGGCCCACACCCAGAGCAAACACCAAGATGTTTCATGGGATCTGGTGAAACAGTTAAAGCAATAAAGGGGAAGGAGGAAACCCAACAAATGAGCCACACACAAAATGCCCAGGTGCTGCTGAGGGTACAAGAAGTTGGTTTAGTTGGTGCCTGCGTGGGTGAGGCAGTGGGAGTGACCACAACAAACCCTTCTCACCGTTCCGTTTCCTGCCCTCCTCTTTGGCCGCTTTCTGCGGTGCCATCACTTTCTGCAGGGAGCTCCGGCCGGAGCTGGGCTTTCCCGAGCCATTGCTGAGGATGGAGCCGGCCTGGCTCGGGGAGCGGCTGCAAATAACCACAGCAACAAGGCAGGACGTGAGTTCTTCCTCCTCAACCTCGTCTCAAGGTTATTTCATTCGCGCGGTTTGCATCACTGAGTTTTCAAGTCTGATTTGGTACCAAAAGGAGACAGGATAGAAAGAGCACGCTGCATCGCGGTAAAGGTAGGAGCAGAGAGATGGGAGGTCAACACGACTTTCCCAATTAGTTCAGGGCTGATGGGCATCTCGGTGGCTTGGAATGCAACTGCTCCTCAAGCATAAGCCCCACAATGACAAAAGTGCCACCACCGAGGACAAAAAAGTCCCGTTGTCAATTCAGGGTCATTAACCCAGAGAAAATAAAGTAGACCTTTGTTTTAGGATGCATGGCTAAATCGATTCCTTTATTATTCAGCCTGCATTAACAGCAAGATACGCTCACTCACTTTGCACATATGCACACACAACACGGTAAGAAATTTCTCCTTTTGGCACATACCCTGGCTGAACCAGCACCCTCACTGGCTGAAACCCCTAAAATAAGAAAATGCTTGTTTCAATCAGCCATTGCACATCCTTGTCCTGCAACTGGTCCCTGTGCAGGGTGAGCAGGGAGGGCAGGGCAGGACCACTGTGCATTCAGTCCCGGTGAGCAGCAGGGACAGAAACGAGCAGCATGCTCTGGGCTGTGTTGGGAACGAGCTCCCACCACAGCTCCTCTGCTTTTCAGGATGGACAAGTTACTCAAATCCTAATGCACAAGTTGGCAAAAGCAGGCCACAGTAGATAATGATACATTTGGTGCTAGTTTACATCCAGACACAGTGACTTTTTTTATTTTTTTACATGTGAAACTGCCACAAAGGGAATGAAACTCTCCACAGGACTTGTGCAGTTATTCACAAATCTATCTGCAATCTACCACTGAGTTGTCATGGGCAGTGACAGGGTGATGTAAAGAGATTACATTAGAGAAAACAAATGGGCCTAGGCACAGAGGCTTCCATTTACAGAGAAAAAGAATCAAATCAGATTCTATTGCTGTCACAATGGTTTTATAACCAGAAAATGGTACTAAAACAAAACAACTGTCAAAACCATCCTGTAAATCATTGCCAATACTGTATCATGAGCTTGAAACATTCATTTACCTCCAGGTCTGGCCACCCTGCCTGGTGTAAGTAGAAAGTATTTACTGTGGTCAGAACAGCAATGGACAAATGTGAGAAAAGCAATTCTTGGGGATTCCCTTTTGAAGATAGCTAGAGTGGAAATATGTATAATTTGAGACAAGCTCTTCCCAGCTATAGGGCTCCAGGAGAACTCAGCATGCAACCCCACTCAGTCCAGCCTGAGGGTTTCCTTGTGAAATTCTATTAAAAATAAGTATTCTTGAGAAGCAGAATTGCTCTCTATAAACTTGTCTGTCACTGCTAAATGGATAATCCCAGCCCAGCAAAAAAGATCCTTCCAGGGACAGACCAACATCAGAAGAAAATCTGCTCGACTTGGGAACACAGAAAAGAAGTGAGCATGGATAGCTTGCACAACCATTTCTGTGGTGACACTAATCCAAGTATTTATCCTTTTTAAGTGGCCATCATATTATTAACTGAGAAGTTTCTTTCAGTGGTGATAGCAAAGATACCCTGATCAATTATCAGCCACTTCATGGCTGTCTGGTTTGAACTGACCTTTCTAGGCTGTAAAGTACCCTGAATGAAAGAGCAAATAGATAAAGGGCAAGAAATATTTCTTCATCTTCAGCAACCATTAAATTCCATTCCCAGACACAGCTCCTGGAAATCGAAAATACTGAAATTCCCCATGTTCTTACTTACTCAAGTAATCACCGTGAAGGAGGGAAAACTAACTCTTAGTTATTTGCTTAGAAGGGCACCAAGGTTCTGCACATTTTATAATGGGAATAACTTTCCTAGATCAAGTTTGCTTATCAGCATTTGTTTAAAATGGTGCAGATTAAGTGGGGGATTTCTGCACTCACTCCAAGGACTGAGTGAAGTGTTTAATCACTTTGGCTAGAGGATTAATTAACAGGGCTGGTTTACATTCTTTATGTGTATTTACACATGGCTTTGGAGAGGCTTCAAAACATTTTAAAGAACAATTCCTGCAAAGACTTGACCTGCCCAGCACCAGCAACCACTACAGGTGTCACTGTCATCTTCCAGTTGTCATTTCTTCAAAGGATGGAAGACTTTGAAAAGGACAGGTTCACCAGGCTGTAGGACCTTAACCCTCTCATTTCAATCATTTGTAGCCTGAAGAACACCTGCCTGGCATTAAATGGCAGAATAACACTTTACATCCAGTTGCAGCTGGCTTGCTCTTCTCTACTGGTATGCCCTGCAGACAGCTCTTCCCACATTCCAGGACTTACTGCACAGCCAAAGGAGCATGACAAACCAGGCACCAGCTCAGGACCCTTCTGTCAGTTCTTCTGCAGGGAAAACCTCAGCTGATGACCACTGGGGATGTCTACCCTGCCCTGCTGTCCTCCAGCCCCACACCATGCTGGCTGACACCTTCCCCTTCCAGCATGTTCCTGTCACAGTGTGTGGCAACACTGTGCTGAGTATTCCAAGCTTTCCCATTATTGCAAAGGGGGAAATATTGGACAAGATGAAGTGACTCAGCTTGAAACCAAGAAAGGCTTGGTTTTCTCTAGAATTTCTCTGCATTAATCAGCTGCTTTTCTTGTATGTTATCAAATACCTTGAAGAGGACAGGCCCATGCAATGCCTGTGAGCTACACAACAGCTAATTCTTTTCAGGCTGTTTACCTAACAGGTTTGTTTTCCTCTCTTCCCTTCAGTATCCATCCTCAGCTCCACTCTCATTCAATACCAAGCAGAGGGGGCCAAGGAAAAACTATCCTCAAAGCATGCAAAACAGCTGGGATAAAGGAATAATCTGCTCTCCTTCCTGCAAGGACCAAGAGAAGGAATATTCAGCTATTCTGTTGATGGTTGAGGGCAGACATGAGGTAAAACTTCCTAACAAGAAAGGCAGGAGAGAACAGATTGCTGGAGGAGGTTGTGATCATCCCACCAGTGGAAGACTTTAAAATAAGGTACATAAAGTTGAGATAGGGGGGTGTTTGACCCTGCAGCAGAGAGGCGAAGCCATATAGCTTCCTGAGGATCTTGAATCCATGATTCTACATGCCTAGAGACTTCATATCAAGAGAGTGCAAACCTGGGACTCTTTACCCTAGACATTATCTAGTCTATTCTTACACTTCTGAAGTTTTGTCCTGCAGTAAATGCTTTGATCTAGAGATCTTCCATAATTTAGTGGGTGTTTAGGGTTTTCTCTTCTGCTATTGAAGGCATTGGGTCCAATTCTTGAGTGGCAGCGGCTACCAGTGGAGTGACAGCAATTTACAGTGGCTGAGGACCTGTTTTTTGGTTCCTTGAGAAATTACCAGTGCTCATGCTACAGCTCCCATGTTTCATTTGGGCTCATCTCTTGTGCAGCACCAACACATGCATAAAAAGCCACTTCACCTCCTTCACTTGGTTTTGTCTCCTATTTTGCAGCAGCCTCACACACCCAGCACCAGCGTTATGCCAAGGATGCATCACGGAGAGGAGCCACCTGCCACACACAGAGCCCGGTGCCAAACCTTAAAGCAACCAGCAGCACATATCTATTAAACCCTCTGAGCTCAACTACACAACTTCTTAACACAAAAGTTGGGGAGTCATATGCTTCACTGAGAATTGATAGCAAATCACACCTTTTTCTCTAAAAAAAGAAACCAGCACTCACACTCTTCCAAGGATATTGATGGGAAGGTTGCAAGATCAAGCACTTAAAAGGTTGAAAAACAAACTACATCAATTTAATCGGCTTCATTTAGCGAGGAGCTGCTGAAAGAAAGGGTTGCACTGTGGGCTGCTTTAGTTCTCTAGGTCTGAGTGGGTTCAGCCATTTGCTTCTCCCTGAATGATGTTTGGCCTGATAAATGATGGGTAGAATTGCTAATAACCTGTTCTTCTCTTCCACATTCTCTCACAAACCCATCTCAGAAACTACCAGTACCTCTGTTGGCTGATTCATCCGTATTACAGTCCTCTAACATTTACAGTCCTCTAACATACATAACTGGGCACTTTCTCTGTGGAAGGGCACCAGCTGCCAGCCCATACCTTTTCCTGGTTTCGTTGGATTTGGCAGTTTTGATGGTGCTCCCATCCTGGGTATTTTCTCTCTCCTGGGAGGCAGGAGCATCTCTGACTGGAAGTGGAAGGATGACAGTCTCCTGAGTCACAGGTAAAACCTCATCCTCTGCTCCCTGCTGGCCCAAGTGTTGCTTGGCATAGTCAAAGCCTTGTACTGGCTGAAAAAAAAAAAAACCAAAAAAAACCAGGAGAAATAACAGAAATTTCCAGGGTGTATTAGATTTGATCTAAATTTTCAAATTCAATGTAAAATTTTTCATTGCTCCTTAACTTTTTTAATTACATAAGTGACAGGTAAAAATGAATAGATTACAATATGAATGCCCAACAGGAAACCAATTTTCTGATGAGATCTCCATTCCACACATTTTAAACATGGTTAGTTAGTATAAAATTGATCTTGGCTAACCTTTCTTACCCTGCTGTAACACCCCCAGAAATTACTTTGACAGACAGTGGGAAAACAAGGATGTGGAAGAAAAAGTTAGGAGTAAACAAAAATAAAACCCTACAGAAAACCTTCTTTGACAAAACCCTTGTGTTTCCAGAGAGAGTGGGAGTAATTTATCCCCAGTCAAGCCAAAGTAAAAAAGGCACACATAAGAAAGTTTTGTGGGCAACATTTTCCAGAAAATAATCTTTTTCAGATCAGTGAAATTAGATTTCCCTGGCTTGGCAGTTGCCTACTGGGAAGGATATTACTGACTTCACTTGTTTCTCTTGGGAAGTGGCATTTCACCAGAGCCTTGAAGCAAGGCAGTTCTTGCCCAGCAGAATTAACACATGCCTTCTGGGCAAAGCAGCCAAGGAAAGGTGGATTCTCTCAATGGAAAAGTTAAATATTTAGACAAAACTGCATTTTCAATTGAAGAAAAAAAATTAAGGAAAAAAAAAAAAAACAAAAAAACAACCTGCACTGGGAAAAAAAAAAAGAAAAATAAATCACTCAAAGAAATTCCTGGCCACCTCTGGAAAATGTGTTCTTGCTACACTAAGTAAAACTAACTTACAAAAATGGGAAGGTTGCTCTTCCTGAAGTAAAAAGACTATTGACAAAATGCTAAGAAAGGACCACAAAACACTTCAAAGTTGAGAAAGAGGTGATTTTAAACTTCACACATATTTGGAATTAGTTCATGACTGATTAGTCCTGATTCCTGGTATGTCATCATTGAATATTTTAGTTTCAAAAGAAAATCAGCACAAGAAAAAAAAATTGCTGTTGGAACAGAAAAAGGACAAGCTCTGTAAAGCATTTTCTCTTCTTGTGTCCCTTACTAAATCTGAGCTGCAGATCTAAATTCTGATAGATTTGCCAGGTGATCTCAGTCTGAAAAGAATGGGGCTGTTGTTCACTTTTTAAAACATAAAAAATGTTTTTTCTTTGTGTGGACCTGCATGGCATTCCCAAACTCCTGCTCAGACTGAGGCTAATGGTTCCTAATGTGTTTTCATACTTCAGCATTCCTCTGATAAGAAGCTTCAGTGCATTAAGGAGCAGGCTAATGCTGATAAGGGAGAGCAGACAACTCCACAAATCACCCCCATGGAATTTGCAATATATCAGAGAAATGCTAATTCACCCCTCCATGGCAAGCAGGGTATCACAAAACAGCAACCAAATAGCTACAGAAGCAGCAAATGAAGAAAGGGAAGCAGAAGCTGTGTGAAGGACAGTTAGGAAGAAATACTGCACAACATCCTACACAGTAATAATGTTAACTAAAATATTAGTTTTCAACCTCATTATAAATATTAAGTGTCAGTTAAGACACTCCTAGATATTCTGAGAAAAGGTAACAAGAAATAAGAGGTGATTAAATCAGTTATGTCTCCCTCCATGCCTTTTAAAGAGTCAAATTTAAGTTTCAACTTCATGTCTTATTTTAAAAACAAACAAACAAACCAAAAAAAAAAAAACCCTCTTCAAACAAAAAACAAACCAAACCAGAAGCTGCAGGACATGAGAATTACTAAAGAATTCTGCAGTGTCCCAGCTCAGATCTACCACAGGAAGAAAATGAAGGATTGTTTTAATCAGAATTCTACTTACCACCATGTCCAGTAACAAACTGCAATAAAAGGAGAGCTGAGAAAGTCATCCTCATCAGCAGACATATTGCATTAAATAAAATTTGTTCTTGGATCCCTGCTCTGTAAAAGCCCACAGGAGCAGATGGTTCTGCCACCCCTGGAGGGAACTGGCAAGGCTAAATCACGATCAGGCACAGCTGAAGCACTGCAAATGTAGATGTCCAATACATCCAAAATACTGACAAAGACTGAAGGACTGAGATTCTAATATTGCCTTTGAAATATTAAATGGATAGAGAGAGACCACGAGATTCCACTGCTCTGGCAAAAAGGGCAGATGGAAACAGTTGTTTCTGGGACTCTTTTTCCTTGTAATGATTGTGAAAAAGACACTAAAGATATTTTTTAAAAAGTCAAAAAAAGGGAAGGGAAAGGGAAAGGGAAAGGGAAAGGGAAAGGGAAAGGGAAAGGGAAAGGGAAAGGGAAAGGGAAAGGGAAAGGGAAAGGGAAAGGGAAAGGGAAAGGGAAAGGGAAAGGGAAAGGGAAAGGGAAAGGGAAAGGGAAAGGGAAAGGGAAAGGGAAAGGGAAAGGGAAAGGGAAAGGGAAAGGGAAGGGAAGGGAAGGGAAGGGAAGGAAAGGAAAGGAAAGGAAAGGAAAGGAAAGGAAAGGAAAGGAAAGGAAAGGAAAGGAAAGGAAAGGAAAGGAAAGGAAAGGAAAGGAAAGGAAAGGAAAGGAAAGGAAAGGAAAGGAAAGGAAAGGAAAGGAAAGGAAAGGAAAGGAAAGGAAAGGAAAGGAAAGGAAAGGAAAGGAAAGGAAAGGAAAGGAAAGGAAAGGAAAGGAAAGGAAAGGAAAGGAAAGGAAAGGAAAGGATCAGCCCCTCCCCTCTACTGGTATACCCAGGTATACTATCACTGACTTTTTTTCTCTGTGCCCTTTATCAAACTGATAAGGCTTGTTTTCCCATGGCCTGAAGCACCTGCTTTTGCCTGTGGCTCTTATAATACAGATCTTATCTCGCTTTACCTGCAAACTTATTCTTTCATGATCTAAAAAAAAAAAAAAAAAAACAAAAAAAAAAAAACCCAAAAAAACAGGTGACGGGACAAATGAGATTCTAGACTTTAAAAAGCATGCTGTGAGTTAGAAATCAAGGGAGGCAAAAGTTAACATTAATCCAAAACCTCAAAGCAAAAACAGTTACTTAAAATAAAAACAGCATCGAAATAAAAACATTAAAATAAAATAATAAAATCCCATCCGATTTTCACCAATTTGAATTTATACTTCTTTCATCTTGCAGCTAGAGGGAAAATTGAGAAAAAAATTATCTTTTTCAATTTTCGTTTCCCTGCAACTGCATCCAGATGTCCCTGACTGCTGAGGCAATTCAGACAGAACAGCACCACAATTCCCAAGAGAGCTCCTCCGAACTACGCTGCGTACGAGAGGTCATTCTGCAAACTTCCTTTATTCACCCTGCAGTCTGCCACAAGGCAGAAGTCACGCCTTAATTGGCAGGCTCAGGCAGCATCCCCGCTGCTGTGCTCCATCCCCTATCGCCTCCCGCGGGTGTTTCACGGTCGATGTGCCATTGCCCTGCAGGAACGGGGATGTGGCAGCCTCCCTCCCGCAGGACTGCAGCACCTGCAGCCCTGCCCTGCCCTGGCAGCCCCTCTGGAGCCGGGCTGGCGGAGCCAAGCAGCGCACCTGAGATCCCGGCACGCAGGCATCATCCCAGCGCATCCTCCTTCCTCCCGCGCAGGCTGCCGCGTGTGGGTACCACAAAACTGCCCCGGTGATGCCACAGCCAATCTCGGATGCACAGAGGCAAAACCCAAAAACGGCTGCTAAAACTACAAATCACTCCACCGTGACTCCGCTTCGAGCAGAGTCAGCGTTAATCAGCAATCTTGGGCACTTTCCTCAGCCGTGGAACACAGCTGACTCATTTTAAATGTGACGTGGATATGTGCTCATTTGTACTCCCAAACTGTATGAAATATGGCAATAACAGTTCATGCAATTACCACTAGCCTTAACACTGGAATTAAAAATCAAACCAAAACTCTTCTTTTCAAAATTACCTTCTTTCATTATCTTCACAAGATATGTTTCTTAGCCTTATTTTAATTAAAGATGCTGAAATCAGGAATGACCAAACCAGTCCATTCTCAGTCCCACTGCAGGATATATCTTCCACAGTCCACATACCAGCATAAACTCTAAACTAGAGCAGGCAGAACATTTCTGATGGAGCCATCATTGTGAAACTAGATTGAAAACAATTTACCTTTCATTTAGAAATGCACCACTTCTCAGATAATGAATTAAATTAAATTAAATTTTATGGAGTCTCAAAATAAACCAGAAAGGGGGAATGCACTCTGGAAGGGGATCTTCTGCACTCCAGCTACAACAAGAGCAAACCTGCAGGAGAAGCTCCTGAAAGGACTCTGGTGTGGGTGCTGGGAGCTCAGCACCAACTGTTTTGTTGCAGCAATTGCAGATCCAGCTCCCATCTGATGCATTGAAGGCTGATGCAAATGTAACCTGACCGAACAGGCTTTAACCTGAGTGTGTACTTTACAGCCCAATTACATCTGGCTTCTCAGGAACAGTAAAAATCCAATTCTGTCTTTCTTTTTGGAATGAAAACAATGGATTAAAATACAAAAATACTTTCAAGTTTCTCCTGTGCTATAATTTCAACCAGCAGTAAGATGTTTTGGTTTTGTTTTTTTGTTTTTTTTTTTTACATAGCAACTTTCTTCTGCTGGTAAGCATCCCATATTGATGGGCAGTTCAAAACAATGTACAAGAATTATCTTTTTTTTTCCTTTAGCTGGGACCAATATTACACTTAAAAATAATCAAATGGTGCATAGCATTGGCAACAGCCACTAATAAAGCATAATACGCATTTCAGGGGCTTCAATGGGGTATAAAATAGCACTGCAATGATATTAATTCCTGTCTGTGTTTGTGATATTGTGTGTTGTACTTTTGTAGATCTAGTCTTAACACTGGATGGATAATAGTGGATAAATAGATGAGCACACTGGAACCAAAATGGAAATGTCTTTTCTACATCATTTTTGATACAAATGTCTGGTTTCCTACTGGCACCAGCTGCACCCATCTGCAACAAACCTAAGATAAGTAGAAATGAGCTGTCAAATGCCTCATGCCTTCCTTCAACTCTTTTTCCAATCTACATTTTTCAGCAGAAGCAACAGAGCTGAAATCTCAATAATCCTGCTGTCTGTAGCATTAAGAAACCAAAGAAAAAATTCATCATCTCAACCCCACACCAGTGGAGAAGAATAAAGCCATCTAAAAGGGCAAAGGAACAGTCTGACTCACAAACAGGCCCCATATAGGCTAAAAAACTCCTGTCTTTGGGCGGACCTCATCAAGAGCCATTGAATAGCAGCATTGAGAGGGCAGGCTTTTTCACTATGGAGATAAAACAGTATTCTGTGACATTTTTCTGTCAGAGGGTCAAACTGGAACTGCATTTGATTTGGAAAAAAAAAATATGGATTAATATCTTTAAGAAAAATATAATTGCTTGAACTCAACCAGAAATATACACAAATAAATTAGAAAATCCAAAACACCTAAAAAAAATAGTAGGAGAAAAAAGATTCAAAGAATGTCTATTCTGGATTAGCAGTTTGGGAGGAGAACTTTTGTTAGGCCAAGGTCTGAATTGCTACCAAACTTCAGACATTCCCACCTTCAACAGGCAGGAATAGCTCAGGCCATGGGTTTTGAGGTCCTACAGGAGATGTACTGATCCAAGCTGTGAGTAACAACCCTTTCCATTCCAAATATCCTTCCACTGCATCTAGCATCTACCCAAGAGTCACAGCCTCAGATGGAAAATGGACTTTTGGCTCTGGAGCTAGGTCACTGACCTTGGCTCTCTGAGGCAGGTTCATCATGGTGTCTGGTTTGAAGTCGTTCTTGTTCTTCCTGCACAGCACCGCGGTGATGATGATGATGATGACGGTGACCACTGCAATAGGAGCCAGCACAGCTGCAATGATCCACAGGTTGTTTGGGGGATTCTTCACCACAGCTGCAGAAAAAGGCAAACCAGCATTGGTAAGCTTCACTGGGCAAGGTTTCCTGCTGCTTCCAGCCTTCAATTGCCTCCATGCAGAAATTGGTATGAAAGCACTGTAGTTAATCTAGCTTTCTATACAGGGGGATACCTTTTGTATTACATTACTTGGGGGGAAAAAGGGAAAAATCAGCAACACTGGAATTCACCAGTCCCTGGACTCTCTTCTCTTAGTTTTATATTACCTGGCTATATGCAAAAGCAGACATCCACTCCAAAGACAAGATAGATACCATCTAAGATATCACTCCAGCGGTTCATTCACACAATAAACAAACAAATAAAAGGTGCAAGTAATGCATTCTTAACTATTTTTTAAACACAAACCCAGCTTAGACCAAAGTAACATAGCATGTATTTAAAAGAACACACACGGAGTCTATACATGGTGTCAAAGACTGACTGGCTCCACAGGAGCAAACTGGCAGAGCTTTTAACAAAACAATGAAACTAGCTCAAATAGTTACTATCAATATCAACAGGGCAGTAAGAAGATGCTTCTCCTGTGCTATAGAAATAATTTATCATAGTTAAGTGTAGTTAAGGTCAAAAAGAATTTCTCATTTCTGAAGGAGTAGAAATAATGAGGTTGCAAAGAGCTACTTGCAGATATATTAATGATGGCACCAGGAAAAGGGTACATTTCAGAAACACAGCAATGCAAAAACATCTTGGGACTCCATTTCATCAGAATAATCTCTCTGAGTATGAACCTTCAACTTGTTCACACGTACAAGATCCTCCTGTGACACATTCCCAGTTCTCTCACTTAATTTCATTTCTTTTTGGGAAAAACAGACAACCTCTTTATAATGCTGAACTTTGCTGTAGTGAAATATTTAGTGGACTTCCCCATGCTACCCCTGTTTATTTTGCTGTGGCACTGGTTTCTGGTGTGGCAGGCAATTGTGAGAACACCAGCACAAAGCAGTCGTGCCCATTTCCTGGGGGACCGGCGCCTTCAAATGTCATTGAGCTTATGAGCACTCAGCATCTCTCAGGATCAGACTTTGAATGCAAACCAGCTTGTTCTGCAGCAGGCATTGGGAACTTTACAGTTCTCCAGCTGAAAGCCTGGCTGGAGCCTGAGCCTGCTTTCTTTGCAGATTTGCAGCTTTCTGCAAAGCCGGTGAAGTTTGTTGGGTGACGGAGGAACAGCACCTTTAGGCCCAGAGCTTCAGCACAAGACTGCAAAAAGGCCAGGCTGGAGACTTTCAAGGTTCACTTTTCAACAGATTCACAGAATTCTTAATTATTGACTTTGACATTTAGTTTGGGGATGAAAGGGCTGTGGGGAAGGAAATGGAATTTGAATTTTAACAAATAACAGAAACTATAATTATAGACTGCTGCTGTGGAAGCAGCAAACAATGGTTGAAAAATTATATTTATTCCTTCTAAGGGATGCAGAGGAAATTATGACCTTATGGCTAATAGGATAGACATTTAGGAGTCCTAATTTACATCTTTAATTCAGTTACCAGACTCCAGTGTGACCTAAAGTCAACCCATGGTTTATTCAACTCAGTAAGACTTCAGTGGAATTTGAAACAAGTCTTTCATTCTGTTGTAACTCAGTCTCTGGCTCATAACACAGGAACATCCATTTTTTTGTGTTATTATTCCTCTGTCTCATCTAACCCAGCTATGAGCTCCCAAGGGTATGTGTCTTTTCTTACAGTGTTTTGGGGCAGAATTTTTCATTCTGCTAGAACAGAAATAATAATGAGCAAAAATGAAATCTACACAAAGTATTTTCTGTGACAATACAGACTACGAATAACCCTGTCCAAAAGGAAAAAAATTGTGGTTTTTCCATAATAAGGTATAAAGATGGAATTACTTCCTACATTTCAAATACTCTACCTTCAGAATCTCAGGTACCTCAGGTCACAATTTCAGTTCTTGTCTATTCTATTTTAACAGTGTTCTATGCATACCTGGCTGGTATGAAAATCTACAGATGAATAAGGCTGCTTTATCAGACCATGGAAATACAAAGTTAGATGATGAGCAGTAGATTCCATAATTGCCTAAATATCCATATAAATATAAATCACATCACTGCACAAAGAGCTAGGAAATTGCTACATCTTCTTTAAGAAAAACACATTAAAGAAATACTCTCATGGAAAACAAAAATACTTGGAATTTAAATGCTGGAATTTATGGAATGGATATCCTTGTGATTAGCTCAATTAAAGTCAGTAGCAGATCATGATCAAATCAAGGATCAGATACAGTAAATGGTGCATTCTCTGGAAATTGTATCATATTTCAGTCTTCTTACTCAGTCCTATGTTTATGGATGATATACGAGTTACTTATTACAGTGGTCTCTTCTTTTCCTGTCACCATTTCACGTAATTATTTCAGCACCACCACTCCTCCAGGCAGATATAATTGCACCAAGGACTCCCATTTTATTTGCTGTTTCACCAGTGAGGAGATCCAGTGCAGAAGTCCACTACATAATTTTGATTCCTTCTAAAGAAACTCTTTGGCAAAGTGGAGAAATCCAGTTAGCAAAAGGCATGGACTTGTAAACTGCATGAAACATAATTATACATTATGTTAACTGCAGGAAAAAGCACTCCTAGCTTCACAACAGGTTTATGACTATGGGCAAGTATATAGGAATATCTAAAAAACACTTAAAGAAACCTATGTTCGCTATCACTCAGTAACCGATGAAGGTCCTGAAAGAGAAATTTGAAAACACTTTTCAAGAATGGAGTATTTTGGCCACGTTATTCTGAATGATACTATCATATCTTGAATCTGAAAACTGCCAATATGCACAATTAGCTCTTTTCAACCTCACTTTTCTGATTTGTGTTTGAACTATATCTTTAACAGCCATGCCATTTTCTTGGTGAAAATTCATATTAAAAAATAATAATCCCTTAGAGATAGCAAGAATCTACACTCTTTTGACCAAGTCAAAAATAAGGGACATCTTAACAGCCATGTTTTACTTTCTTTGGCCAAGTTATATGAATGGCAACTTTGTTCCAGTCATCATCAGCCTGTGGTGTCATGGTTTTATCAGCATCAGAATTAATTCTGACTTTCCATAGCGTTCAGTTCATGGAATAAAACAATTATTAAGTATGGAATATTTGAAAGGACTCTTACGATCAGCTTGAACTTGGATGACATAGCCCAGGGTCAAGGCCATCCTCTGGGAGTCAACTGTACTCAAAATTTTGGCAGCTGCAGTGCCCAACAAAGGCTTCCCATTGTATAAAGTGTAGTATGTCAGTTCAGCTGGCTCCTTGGGTCCTGGAATACGTTGAATTTTTACCATCTTTAAGGGAAATAAAATAAATAAATAAATATACAAGGAGAGAAAGAGAAATAAACTGTGTTTGTTTTATACCACTGCAAAATTTGCCAGGAGCTATTTGGAGGCAGTGTCCACAGGGACCTCCTTCAAGACCTCCTACAAGTATAAGGTCCATGCAAATATTCTCATAGGATCAGAGCTTCTCCTCTTCAGAGCCCAGACTTTAAATCAGTCAGTCAGAGAAATTGCTAAAATTTTTCTTGAAAATAATTTAACATAATCCTGAGGTAAAACCCTATACTAAAAGCATGTAGTAAAGAGGAAAGGATCGTGTTTTTGGACATTACAGTCCTCTGTAAAGGGGGAATTCTTATAATCTGTTCTAACACTGAAAACTCTAGTGGCATATTGCAGTTGAGAAACAGCCTCACATTTCCCCTCTACACTCATTATTTTTTTTTGTCCCAGGTTGATAACAAAGGAATCATGCTTTTCCTATTTTATTCTGTAGAACACTGGCAGAATTTTTCCTTTCCTGAGAGTGGAGAAAGTGTCAAACATTTCTAATGATGAGAAGAGAAAGGAGTTTTGTGATTCTTCTCCATTATGTTAGGGACTAAACGTTTACAAAGGTTCAGACTTTTGGCAAGTAAAATGTGTTCCTTCTTTTCAATTCTTTCAGTGGAACAATACAAAGAATTGCGTGGACAAATGGGAAATGCAATTACTTGGGTTTATACCTTACAACAAACAAATCTTGAAAAACAATTTAATTAATTTTCTTTTAAAGAACTAATTTTTGAAGATTGAAGAAAAAAAATCTTTTAATTGCCCATAGCATCATTTGGCTTAATTGGTGAGAAAACAAAATATGATCAGCTCAAAATACTGAATGAAAAATGCTGTAAATAAGAGAAAGATGATTAATAAATTACTCAGGTCTCAAGTCTCTACTTCATAACATGATCTGGGGCCACATGATTTGATGACTAACCCTATATAAATAAAAGCTGCTTCTTATATTTTTTTTTTCCAACAGAAAGAGAAAAAAATAATTTCTAGCTTTGAGTTACCTAGGAAACTTTTATCAAGAAGAAAAAAGTTGGAACACTTCATTATGCTGAATACGCTAAAATATGTACTTTGTACCAATCCTCATAGCAACCAGAGAGAAAATATTTATGAACACTGATTAACTAATGATGATTTCTGGAGGATGACAGGCGTGCCAACATGGCTGGCTGCAGAAAAAGGCACGCTCAGCGGTGCCAGGCATTCCACCCTCGCTGCTTTGATACCCATGAGAAATACAGGAAATTTCAGCCTAGAAATTTAGCTAGACATGTCTTTTACAGGAACTGAAGCAGGACACGTGCAAGCAAAGCATTCTTTGAACACACTGAGCACCTGCACAGTGTAGCTGCCCACGGTGGTGGCACGTCGGAACCGCCGTCCCTGCTGGTGGGACATCATGAACAGCGGGGCCAAGCGCTGCTCCATCAGCCTGGCAAAGCTCTGGTTGTTCAGCCCCAGCAAAGCAATATCAACCCCCTGGATGACTGTGGGAACAGAGAAAAAACACAGATCAGCACTTCATGCACCGACAGGTTGAGTATCACGTGGTCTGTGGGACAGTTTGGGACAGGGAGGTGCAGACTAGCCTAGAAATTAAAGACCTGGACACTGTTATCCCCTCTTAGTAATTCCCTGTGGGGATATAACATACTTCTGTTTTAGTCCCTACACTGCTCATCTCGGATAATATCAATGATGCTTCACAGAGTAAAAATCTCAAAATACCATTTCTAGACCTTCAGCTTTCTAAAATGGCTCAGAGGAGCATCTACTCTATAATCTTCAATGTAAAAATTAGGTTCAAACCTATTTGAGAGCTGCTGGGTTTATGCTTGCTGCTAGATGCGCCTATTAACCAGTTTCTATCCTGAGGATTTGAACTCTGAAGTTTGGATTTTGTACAGTCTCAAACAAAATACCGTGTTTGAGAACACTGAAACCTGAATAAACATTTCTGAAGTATAAATGAAGGCATCTGAAGTATAAATCAATGCAAGATTTAAAAGACACTGGATTCTAAAGTTCAAGAAAAGTGATATGACCTGCTGATTCAATTCATACATATGTATGGTTTTTTCAGTATTATTTCAAAAAAGCCTTCTGGGACCACCAGGATCTTTTTGAAAATAGAGTTTTCATTGTAATGTCAATAATAATCCATCATAGCAAGTGCACAGAAGCAAGAAATGGAGTATCAGGTTCACAGGGTCCATACTGGGAGGAGCTGCACCACTCCCTTCAGAGGATCATCATCTCTGCGTAAACTTATGTTTTATTTCAAATTTATGAAAAGATGGAACTGGTACCAAGTCTATTTCATGTCAGAGCCCTTTGCTCTTGCTCTCCTGAGCATTAAAGAATTCCAGGTACAGACACATGAACTAGAAAGGCTTTGGTATCACTCAAAGATGTCTGAGGGAAAGGGTCTCTTTCTTGCCCATTTGTGAAGTCAAAACAATTGTGCATGAGAATGTGACACCTGTGAAATGACCTGATAAAAGAAGTGTTTTGAAGCCTAAGAGCTTCAAGTGAAAGATGCAAAAATCCCTGTGCCCAGATAGTCAGCAAATCATAAAGTTCCTTGGTGTGACAGCTTCACCTTTGTTCCTGGGTTATGTCTACGTGTCTCTTTTGATTTCAGATTTAAATCCATGTCCCAGGGTATAAATAAATAAATAAATAAATAAATAAAAGGTCTATTTGTGCCTCAAAACTCTCAGAAGATAATGCTGCTCTCAGAATTGTTTCAGCCAAAGTGCTATAAATTCTGAGGTGGGTGTTGGTTGCTGGAGATGTCACTGTTCCAGGTGATCTATCACTTATGCCACAGAGTGACTGTAAGTGCATTTGCCCAGATGAAAGCAGGTTCAGTGAGCAGCCATTTATTTCTGTGTAAAATTACTGCAGTGCTGTGTTCATATAAATGAGCACTAAAAATTATTACCTGGAGTGGCTGGAGGAGGGAAGGACATTAGAAAGTACCTGTTATCACCCAGTAGTCTCTAGTTGATTCCGAGACATCAAGGTTTGGGTACTCCAAAGCTTTAAAAATAGAAGATTAAATTATGTCATAATATTCCAACATCCTACACATTATGCATCCCAAAACTGGCTACCCTGACAGTAACAAATAAAATTGAACTATGGCCCAAGAGGAGATCTAGAGCATAATTTTCAGAGTTACAATTTCTTTTCTGTCTGCAAAAGAGCACCAAGTGTAAACAGAAGAAGCACTGCCATACAAAGTAGAGCATATATCTCCTGTTGCCAAAATACTGGCTGGGACAGAGTCTGGGATGAAGCTCAGGAATACCCAGAACCAAGGATAGGTAATAGGTGCTGTATTCATCTCTGCTGCTTTCTCCCCTGCAGAAACCCTGTAGATGAGATTCCATGATGATTCGGTGATTATTCCTTATGTAGCCCAGACCATAGTTTTAGCCTAAAATAACATGAAAATATGCCAGGATCAGATTCCATATGGACTGCAAACGAGACTAACAAAACTGTGAGCACACCTTGGAGTGTGGTGCTCTCTCACTGTGCACCGTTTGAGGCATTACTGCCATATGTGTCTGCATCTGGGAGAAACTGATATTTGCTGTTGTGGTGCCTTTTGTTAGCTCCCCCATCTCCAAAGTGCACTAGGCTGTAAAGCTCAATATGCTGCTCATTCATTCCACAGCTCAGCGTTCGTTCCAGAGATGAATAACTTAATTCAGAAAACATCCATGCTCTGCACGTTGATAGGCTGCTACTGAGTCACCTTGATTTTTAAACCCCAGAGTGGCCCAGAATAGTAAATATTGTAAAGGATTTGATTACACACAGAGGCTGCTTTTGAGGAGGATTTCACAGCGTGCCCTGAGCTGTGCATTTCCAGGACAGACTGCAAAGGCTATGGAGGAGCCACTGGAGCCTACTGGGAAATTATATGCTCGGAGAACAACCTCAATATTTGTTTGATAAAGTGAGACAACTACACTGCCACATGAATTAGCATCAAACACTCTTCAAAGGAAACGTTTTCCAGACACGCTCTCAGTCTGGAGCCGTAAACACTGCGCATGCATTAAGTTCATGAGTTTGCAGTACAGCTGCTGCACTGGGAATAAAACCAAGAGCTCCAAAATGAAATATAAGCCATTAGTTGTTAAAGAAACACTAGCTAAAGACTTTATCAGGTCTGTTCATCATGCGTGGGCATCAGCAGACAACTGCAGTACCACACAAGACTTGCTGTGTGACAAATGGCTTGCACAGCTCCTGACTACCAAGCATATCAGTTTCACCTACTTGTTTCCAAACATAATAATTTGATAGGTAATGCCTCAAGAACGACATACAAACCTCCTTTCCCAAAGATTTGCACAGCTACCTTAGTTAGCTGTGATTCCTCACTGCCTCACAGCAGGGATAAATCACTTATCCCACAGAAAGCTCATGGTGAAAGTCACTGGGGAATTGCACCATGTAATTTCTCTGCTGTTGGGCTGTTTGCAAACAAAATGAACTGACAAAAAAAAAAAAAAATAAAGGTAATTTGTGTTTTCCTCAGGGCTCACTTCCAACAGTCAGCTTCTGCATGTACCCAGCATGTCCCTGTCTCTTCTCACTCCCAGTAAACACAGAACTCCAGTCTGCAGCAAGCTGAATTTCACACATCATATTAACAAGCAGATTAAACAGAAATCCCCATAATCAAGTGTCTTGTCTGCCCACACAGTTGTGGGCTGCCCACACAGTTGTGTCCCATTCTCTGCACCTCAGAGCCTTCATAGCAACTGCAGTGCAAGAAAGCCATTGATGCCAAAGTGCTCAGACCACGTGTAAAATGAGGATGCAGCTCTCAGAAAATGCACCCATAACTTTCTAAAACAGAAGCACAGGTGGAGCTCACCCCACTACCCCAACACACACTCCCAGCCTGATCCCAGCCCAGCCCCTGGAGCAACCACTGGGACTGAAGCCAAGAGCTATGCTGAAGCTAAAGATCATTCAGTGCTGTGCTAAGTACTCCTGAAATGAAGATTTTGGGACTTTTTATGCTTTTGGTTTTTTTTTTCACAAAACTACAATTTTATTTTGTTTGAAACCTAGCACAGGATTTTTTTTTTTTTTAATTAATGACAGAGTATATATGTTTTGCCTTCGTTTTTAGCCAGTGTTGCTAGCAGCCAAAATAAACACTAAGCCCAGGGGGAAAAAATCTAATTCCCCCCCTTCCCTTTTTTTTAACAAAATACAGTTTAAAAACTAACCAGAAAAAGTACATATTATCCCTGACTTTGACAACAAAGCCAGATTCTGGTGTTGGCTAATCTTGATGCTGGGAAGCACATACTTACATTCAGCAATGGTGAGAGGTGGGTAGGTGAGGTAGAAACCCACCAGCTCAGCTGACAGCTGATTAAGAAGGTTGCTGGAAACAGTGCCATTTAGAGTTGTGCTTTGATTTTTCACTACGTAAAACAGAGTGACAGCTTGGGAGACATTGGAGGTGTTCAAAATCTGAAACAGAGGCAAAAAAAATAATGTGTTGCTGTGGTTCAGCTCGTTTAAAAAAAAAAATCAAAAACTACCAAGGCACTGCAGAGAAACTGGGGAAACATTAACCTGAAGAATGGATTAACTGCATCTCATCCAAATTTACTTGTGTGATACTTAAATCTCTGCTTTAGCACTTGCAGGATTCCTGGAGGACAGCAGCAGGCAGAAAAGGTGCAGTCAGGACTGAAAATGATTTCCCCTGTTTTTACCAGGAAATGTGGGATGAGGGAGAGGATGCTTATCAGAAAAACCATCCAGTGCTTGATGCAGAGAAATTGTCCTGTTTATCTTGCTGTCTTTGCTGCCTTCCTACTGCTGGTTTCTAGACCCATACATTTTCCATATGAAATTAAGCGATATCATGTCTTTCTGTTTCTGACATCAAATGAATCCCTGTTCTCCTCCCCACTCTAGCCCAGTGCCAGTCTCTTGCTGAGCCCAAATCTGATTACTGCATTTTGAGGACCAATTCTATTCAGCAAGTACTGGATGAGATTCTCAAACACCAGGAACAAAACCCACATGTTTTCTTGAAAAACTTATTCCCAAGGGCAAGAGGGATGGGGTTATTTGGCTACTAATAGGCAGGCTCAATGTCATTCATTAATGTTATTTAAATACTCCATTTTTATGGTTTGGATCACCAAGTTAAAAGAAAAACCATGGTATAAAAAAAAGCATCAGAAGAGCCCAAGGTCAGACCAAAAGTCTGCCTAGCCTATGTCCACTTACAAATGGCTGGAGCAGAGGGTTGGAGAATTAGCCCAGGACAAGAGGAATAAATGTCTCTCAACAGTGTAAGCTATCCCACAGCTATGTCAGAGCCATAAGTCATAAGCCTGGGTTTAAAAAGGATTGATGACCTTTTATTCTATATCTACGGCCAAATGTTTTTTGTAATTTCCTTTTATTTTTTTCCAGTTACATCTGGACATCTTTATCACACAGTGTGGGAAAGGATGCTTCTTTTTATTTAAATTTGAGTAGTTCTGTTTTGGGAAACTCCAAGTGACCACTCCTGATTCACTAATTTCATTTCTCCTCGCATGGAAGATGCTTCATGCCTTTTACCCACCTTCCCTCTACTCTCCTAGGGCAGCAATGCCTTTTCTGAACTAGCTTTGCTTCTCCAGAACTGTTCCCCAGTTTTCAATTAATCTAAAGCCCGCATACAGCATTTTGTTGCATGGACTTAATCTTTTGCATGATACTGGAATAACTTCAAAAAATGTATCATGAAGATCACACCCTTGAGCCTCTTACTTCCTAACTTATATGTTGCCTTCAGGACCTCCATCCTATCTCTCCTTAAATTGGCAATACCCACAAAAACAGCCCTACCTTCTCCTAGGGCTCTTTCCAAAATTGCTTAGGTGCTTTGTGAGATCTGCCACTTCTACCACAAGCAAATTAGGCACCATGAAGTTCCCCACAATGCCACAGGTCCAGCTATTGAAAAGTTTGATAATTAATCACTTTACCTACTGTGGCAGGCCCTCTCTTGCCCTGTGCTTTGCTGCCTCTCTGAGCTCCTCCAGTCTGAGCACAAGCTCACAAGAAACAGCACCAAAATAATAATCAGCAGAGCGTTGATGGCAAGTTTTCTCCTTCTGAGGAGCACAATCCATACACAGAGTTTTATCCAAAATCAGAAACATATTGTAATACTGCCCAGAGGATCATTTCCTTAGTCCTGAAGTATGGCACAGAATGTAAGAGTGTTGGCCCACTCTACGTATAAAGGTGTGTAAAAATTTATGGTGAATTTGTGCCCATGAGTATGAAACTGAAATGCATACCAAGAGAAAGTAATCTATTCCATTATTTCAGATCTTAAAAATAACTGTGCCTAGCGCCATCTTTATATCTGAATAGTCTCACTGAAAGCAACTAATGTGTCAGAATAACATGTTCACTAAAAACATAAATTTGGAAGACTGTGTTTTATACATGGAATTTCATTTATATGACTAAACTGCAAGCAGTAAACTCATGAAAAGCAAGAGCCTTCTATAAATCATGCATTTGTAAGTTTTCCTGCAATGCATAAACTATCTTATTGGAGATAAAAACATAAACTTCCTTTCACAGTGGCCAGCAAAGGCAGTGTGTTGGAATAAAAACATACACATGGCAAAGAATAACCAGGAGGGGTTGGCAACAGGCACTGACAAAGCACCCAACACTGTACCTGCACAGTTAAGTTGTTGCTGGTGTTTAGGACCTTCCTTTCAGCATCCTGAAATGCTCTCTGGAGCCGCTGTTCCATGGTCTGAACAAATTTGCATGACTGAATATTATCTGTTTGACCCACAAACTGCAGCTCTGGAAAAAGGAAGGCATTATTAGCATGTGGATAAAGTATTCTCAGTTGCAGCACCAAGAACAAAATGCTCAATTTACACATTAAGCAGGTGAAGATAATGCCACTTCAGGAACCGCACTAAATTAGCCTTAATTAAGACAAAATGTAAGAATTAAATTGCATTATTAGAGCTGATACTCTCCACAAACAAATGGAGATTGCTTCTGCAATGATATATAAGATGGTAGGGTCTGTCCGCTGTGCATACACTTGCTCAGAGCCAGGCAGTAAGCAAAGTCATTCTAAAAGACAAGTTATAATCTTAAATCTTGCAGGTCATTTGGTCCTGCAAAATATAATCAATCATGATATTGATTCTCATTCTGTTTTATTTGCACTCTAGGAAAAATGTACTTAACTGTAACTGCCATAAGTATGTGTGTAAAAACATTGTAAGCACACATGTGAGAAATATTTTTTATCACTTAATCCATCATTTCAGAGCACTCTGCCCTCTCCTAATCTTATAGTGCTCCACAATTACTCTGCACTGATGTTTGCTGTCACATCCCCTTGATGCCTTGCTGGGCTACCTAAAAACAGAGGCCAGACAAAATTAAGGGAAAAAAATTGCAGTTATATTTATTGAAGGGCCTTCAGGTACATTTCAGGCAGACAAAGCCTGTTGTAGTGCTCTGGGGAATGTTTTTTTCCCTCCCCAGAGACCCCTGTAGCTGTGACCATGTTAGTTTGACCCTTCCTTCCTTTCCTGACACAACTGGCTGGAAGCCAAGTGGCCCCTCCTGTACTGAGCCTGGATAAGGCTCTGTCCCTTCCTTGTTTGCGCTCTTTCCCCCATCCTCCCCTGGATTAAACATCTTGGACCACATCAGGGGTTGGAGCCTCTTTTGGAATCTTTGCCTTTCTCCTGAAATACTTCCCCCCAAATGCTCGCAGACCTGGGCTAGCCTGGTAAATTTGGGGGGCTGCGGGGGGTAGGGGTTTCAAAAGCCCTCCCAGGGGCTCCACCCAAAAAATTGGATGATGCGTCATGGGTTTCATACTTTTATAAGTTTGGTTAATTTGCATATTGGGTGTTGATCTTCCAATTACAGCTTCAGGTAATGAAGTAATTTACCCCAGGTTTGCCCCTCCCCAGCTCACTTTTGTTTACATTTCTCAGGGCCTGAGGCAGTGAGGTGTCTTTGATTGCCAGGCCTGGAGAGGAATTGTTTTGTCTGCCCAAAATGGGACAGCAGCAGCTCACACTGCGTGTGGAGTTGAGTTACACACTAAAGAATTGCAGGGCTACAAATCTATGAAAAATATGACAGCTAAAACCCTGAGGCACCACTCCCACTGCAGTGCCCACGGCCCTGGAAGAAGAGCACAGGGATGCCAAACCACAGCAGAGCCTTTCCCGCTGCCACCCCACTGCCCCGGCGAGCCCTGGGCAGTCTCCATGGACACACACACACCCTGCTCCATGTACACACACCCACCCTGTTCCATGGACACACACCCACCCTGTTCCATGGACACACACCCACCCCGCTCCATGGACACACACCCATCCCGCTCCATGGACACACACCCATCCCGCTCCATGGACACACACACACCCCGCTCCATGGACACACACACACCCCGCCCCATGGACACACACCCATCCCACTCCATGGACACACACCCATCCCGCTCCATGGACACTCACTCACCCTGCTCCATGGACACACACCCACCTCACTCCATGGACACACACCCATCCCGCTCCATGGACACACACCCACCCTGCTCCATGGACACACACCCACCCTGCTCCATGGACACACACCCACCTCACTCCATGGACACACACCCACCCTGTTCCATGGACACACACCCACCCCGCTCCATGGACACACACCTACCCTGTTCCATGGACACACACCCACCCCGCCCCATGGACACACACCCACCCCGCTCCATGGACACACACCCTGCTCCATGGACACACACCCACCTCACTCCATGGACACACACCCATCCCGCTCCATGGACACACACACACCCTGTTCCATGGACACACACCCACCCCGCTCCATGGACACACACCCTGTTCCATGGACACACACCCACCCCGCCCCATGGACACACACCCACCCTGTTCCATGGACACACACCCACCCCGTCCCATGGACACACACCCATCCCACTCCATGGACACACACCCACCCTGTTCCATGGACACACAGCCACCCTGTTCCATGGACACACACCCACCCTGTTCCATGGACACACACCCACCCTGTTCCATGGACACACACCCCGCCCCATGGACACACACCCACCTCACTCCATGGATACACACCCAACCTCACTCCATGGACACACACCCACCCTGCTCCATGGACACACACCCACCCCGCCCCATGGACACACACCCACCTCACTCCATGGACACACACCCACCTCACTCCATGGACACACACCCTGCTCCATGGACACACACACACCCTGTTCCATGGACACACACCCACCCTGCCCCATGGACACACTCTCACCTGTCTTCAGCTGCAGGTGGTAGGCGGGCAGGGGCTGCCAGGGCAGGGCCAGGGCCACCAGGGCCTGCAGGTGTGGCACGTGCTGCTGCATGTCCGCCGTGGCATTGCCGAGGCCGTAGGCGAGCAGCTTCTCTGCCACGGCAGCTGGCGTGAAAACCAGCCGGCCCCGCGTGACGTAGTAACCCACGGTCAGGTTGCTCGACTGCTCCAGGATTTCAACCTGAAACACATGGGCCAGCATGGATTTTTTATTGTTTTTTATCGCCGGCCGGGGGCTATGTACAAGTCACGAACAGGACGGGACTGCTGTGGAATGCATCTCGAGCTGTTTATTTTTTAGCATCAGTCATGGTTACGACAATGGGAAGATGCCAGCAGCTCACATCCAGGCAACAGACCAAGAACTTAATGTTACAACTTACTTTATAAGCTTTTTGACCAGTCACACAAAGCAAAAGCATACTGAGAGTAGTTCTAGCCAATCACTATAAATACACGTACCTTTGGTTAAAACAATGCTTGTTTATTTTGAATACAATACCTCCTTGTAACCCTTAAAATACAATGCATAGAGCTCCATTATTAAGCTTAGACCTTCCTAATATCTCACCAGATAGACTTTTCTGCAACTTAAGAAGTTATTCTATGCAAGTGTTAATACACAGACCATCGTTCTATTTGTTCTTTCTTTCTACTTTTTGTATAATTCACCTGCTGACAACTCTTATAGCTACTGCTTAGTTCTAATCACCATCCTGCTGTCTCTGAGGCCTGCCTTTTGCAATGTGCCCAAAACCCTCTGATTTTAAGGAATCCCACAGTTTTTAATTTTTTGCTTGCAGTCCAGCCACTGTTCGATGGGGTTTCTCACCCTGAATGTGTGCCCCTTGCATGGTTTTTATCCTGCAATCCCCTATAAACCCTGTGGGATCAGTTAGTGTCGTATCAGACATGGCATGGATGCTGAGAATTGGTCAGAGAACAAAGTCAGATAAACTTGACCAGGCACTGCTCTGTGAAGCTTTGGGAAAGTTCAGTGAAGGAATTAAAACAATTCTTCATCTTTGCAGCTGGTGTTGTTTTCTCGTAAGATATTTACAAGAGGGTGGTGTGCCTAATTAGCCAGTGGAGGGATGTTGATTGAGGACCAATCAGGTCCACCTGCACTGTAACTGTCTATAAAAGGCGTGTGGTTTTTAATAAAATAACATTTTGCCTTCTGAGACTTTGGAGTCTATGTGTCACCTTATTCATCCATCCTCAATATAATAGCGACAAACACGGTATTAGCAGAGCTGCTCAGAGAGTTTTAGGCTCAGCCCATGCAGTCTGGGCTCCAAATTGGAGGAGTGCAGAACTGCTACCACAGCTGCAAAGCTCCAGGTTAGGCTGGGCCTTCATCCATGCACAGATACTGGGACATTTCACATATGCATGAAAAAACACAGAGAGCTTCCAGCTCATCCTCTGTGCCTGAAGTTCACTGACTTTATGCATATTTCTGTGATGGCAGGTTTGCAGACAGATTTTTGAAAGACAAAATTTTCTAATATTTGATTGGGCTGTCTCTTATCTCCTGTTCTCCTGTACTGTTAACTACAGAGTTAAATCTATGAGTAGACCTATACAAGTGGAAATGCCAAACCACAAGAATGGACACACTGTGAGTCAAAACATGAGCTGAGTCTTACATCAAAATTCTGTATTTCCCAAAAAGTTTTAGCCCGGGAACTGGCCCTCCTCACTAAGTTTTAGCTGTTGTCCTCTGTTAGAAGAAGGCAGCTCCTCCCAAGTTTGTAAAAAGGTGGGGGACTAAACCTGGCAGTTTTTATTGCTGCTGCCACGGAGCACACAATTCCCAAAGAAAATGACATCCTCCACACTTACAGCAATAAAGCAATAAAGCGTGAGGACTAAAGACAACCTGATGACCTCTGTTTTGAGAAAAATTACTTTTTTCCTTCCCAGAGGCTTGGTGAGTGTGTCTCCTAACAGCCTTAGACCCCACACTGACCCCAGCCTGAGTGCACAGGAAGCAGTGTCCAAGGAAAAGGGCCCTGGCAGCCCACCTGAGCCTGCTCCCACACACAGCAGTGCAGAGGTTCATGCAATTTCGCTGCAAAGTGATGAACACATCGCCTCCATTTATTTTCAATGAAACATGCTTTCTCCCTGCTCAGGATTCTTGTTTCTGGGAAATTGCACCTGTCAGGTACTGGGTTTTCAAAGCAGGGAGTGGACTGACATCAGTGACATCCCATTTACAAGCCATGCTCTTGCCATTGATCCAGGCTGAGCACGGCAGCACCCGGCTGCCCCTGAGCAGAAGTCACTCCTGAGCTGCAGGGGGAAGAGGAAACTGCTGTCAGTAGTCATTTCCCCGAGCACACTAAAAAGAAGTTTGCATTTCTCTTTTCTTCCTCATTAAATATGCCGCTAAAAGCTTTGGAGAATTCATTATATTTTTAGAGACCAGAGTGGGTGCCACCTCTGCCTGCTCTCCATAGGAAAATCTCAGTGCTCCTCTCCAAGAGGCTTCCTGCATCCAGAGACACCTCTGGAGCTGCAGGCAGCTGTGGTTCTTTGATGGGAGAGCTGTTCTGGTGAAATCAAGCAGGGAAAGCCAAGCACACTTACCTGAGCACTGACATTCTGGTTGAAAGCTTGTCTCAGCACTTGGTTGAGGCCTTTTCTCACACTCTCCCTGAAGGCATTGCTGATCATCATCCTCCTTGTGTTCAGAAAGAGAACTGTGGAGCAACAAAAGCCACAGGGTGGTTTGAGACATCACCACACTCTTGTTTGCTTTCTTTAATTGTTTTACATTGGGCTGGCTGTGCAGGGATCACCAAAGCAGCTTGGATTAGCAGCAGCTCCAAAGACAAGAACTGCAGGGGCTCAGCAGCTCCTGAGCTCCCTATTCATCCCATGGCAATAGCCCATTGTTTCCATGTTTCCAGAGCAAGGTCTAACAAATGCAATTTCATTAGCAGCAACAACAAGTCTTTGCCATGCTGCCTCTCCAAGGAGGCACGAGGCCACTCACTGCCTGAGGACAGACTGGCACAGCATTCCCAGAGGACTGAGCCAGAGCTGCACAGGCAGGCTTCACATCTTCATGGCCTCAGTTACATAAAAGAAATCTGCTGCTCTAGTGTTACAATTATTTTCTATTTAGAAAGCATCTGTACGCTTTCTTTAATAAATCTATCACTATCTTCTTATTTTTCTCTTATAATTTTCAAGAAGGGTCTTATAGCTGTGCTTGAGTACTTTCAATCATATACTGTACACAAGCTACTTTTATCTTTAGAAATAGCTGTTGTACTCATCATGCTACTGATGGGGATATTTAGCAGCAAACACACATTAGGTCCAAAAGCTGCTTATTTCAATGCAGCCTGTATCATGCAAGATCACAAACTCTTTTCTGTACCTATTCTTTGCTGAGATCTCCAAGACACACACGTCTTCTGGTGCTGTGTTGCCACAAAGAGTCCATGAGAAGCCTGGGCAAGGTACCTATCCAGGCCCCTTTAGTTTAGAGTTCTTACAGATAAGGAGAAGCTGCCCGTGAAAAAACAGCCAGAGCCAGAAGTGGCACTATCACCTAGAAAACTCAAAATCTTCCCACTTTGAAGTGTGCAACTCTAAATGCTAAACATAATTTTCAAATGGATCTGTAATGGTAGAATTAGGTGTTCATATTAGAACAGAATTAGGTTTTTGTGTGTAAACAGGGCTGAGGACCAAGGTAGGTCACTGCACGGTCCTCTCCAGCAACACAGGCTCCTCACTGCAAAGCAGGCACCAAACCATCCCAGTTTACAGGGCTGTCCCTCCACACAGGTGGTCCTGCAGTGACCCCTGAACACCACAGCCCCTGATCTCACCACCTCATTTGACACATTTGTGCTAAAACCCAAGCCACGAGTAAAACAAATGCCATTTCCAACTAAGGACCCTGCCCATACCCATCTGATTTGTCAGCACTGATTAATCACTACTGCCCCGCATCCCTGGACACTGGGGTGTGTTTCTCACACCTCACAGACACAGCAGAGCCCTTCAGCAAACCCAGAGGCTGCACGTACCTGTTTTCACCATCATGTTGGCAGAGAGCCGGCAATCCAAGGAGGGAGCTGCCGTCATGTTAGCGAAAGCGGCTGCTGCCGTGGTGCCGGGAGGAGCGGGGCTGAGTTCCACGGCAGGAGGGGGAAGCCTAGTTGTTTTCGCTGATGCTGTAATAGATGTCAAAGCTGCTGTCATTGTCAGTGGGTATGGGGTTGGCGTTTTGGTGATGTCTGAGCTCGGGAGCTTCTGGGTGTCAGTTACTGTTGTTTCTATCTGCCTTGGTACGTGGGCTGTGGGTGCGAGTGTGGAAGCTGTGACCGTGCTGCTCTTGGGGGTTGTGAGCAGGGCTGGCATGTCCAGAGGTGAGGCAGTCGTGTTTCTCGTTGCAAAAGGAAAATCTGCCCGTGTTCCTACTGAGCTTAGATCCGGTGTCAGTTTTGTGGCAGTGTTATTTTTTGTTAGTGTCAGGATCGGTGTGCTTAAAGCCATCACGGATGGCGAAGGTGTGTTTTCAGTGCCTAGAGAAAAGAAGGAAGAAGCTGGCACTGGTGAAGCTGGAGATGATTTTCTTGTTATTGGTTTTGCTTCTGAAGTTTCTACTGTAGGTATTGCACCAGAAGATACTCCAGATAACACTGTAAGAACAGAATGGGTAAAGTTGGTTGTTGACAAAAAAGAGACTCTATCTGTGTTGGTGATGCATGGACAGAAGTTATGATGACTTGACTGCAGAGCACTGGTGGTAGGGGTTTGCAATGGGATGCCCTTGGTAGCTTTATTAGATATGTTACTGGGAGCTAGACTATGCCTTGTAGCACTTGTGTCCCACTCCTCCTCACTGAATGTGGCTGGATATTTATCAACCATAACCAAATAACCAGGGGACTCATCTGGTTGTCTGCTAATTCTGGAAAATTCCCAGAACCAATGTCTTCTCAGATAAAACTATTCAAGAGAGTTGCACCAGAAGGCTTGGTGACAGGGAAGGGGGACTGGGCTGGCAGTGTGCTGAGGGTGACACTCCTTCTGTTTGGGGCTGAAGTAGTCAAGCTGTCAGTGAGCTGAAAAGCCAACATTGGTGCTGTGGCAAATGTTTTGGTCAGTAATCTTTCCAGCATCACTTGTTTGGGATTCTAGAGAGCTAGGGAGAGCATCTGCAGCATTAACAGGACCACACGTAAATGGAGAGGTGCTTTCTCATGTATACTGATAGGAACACCTCTAACACGGAAGAAATCAGCAATGTTTTCAGCCCTGTTTCCATGCTTTTTTTGCAGAGAGTCGGGCATTGTCAATGCAGTAGCAATGGATGAATACTGAACAGGAGATGTTTTCAGTGCAAGAGCATCACATCAAATTCTGAAAAGCTATTCTTTTCAGGAAAGGGTAAATTTGAAATGTTTTGACTATAGGATGTATATGTACAGTTTGCTGAAGGGGTGGAGAAGAGTGGCTGCTGATTTGTATTAATTTTGTTTTGCAGACTTGACACTACTGACTGTGGTGCATAGTACTCATCTTCCAGTGGAAAAGCACTTGGAGCAAATTCCCTTTTTTCCATTTGGACTGAAGTTTTTAGTGAAGGAATACTAATGCCAGAAATGCTTTATTGGTCCACGTAGAAACTGAGTTACAACTTCAGGAAGGCTGACAGGATCTAAATTGCTTTCAGAGTCTGCATTCAAAATCCTGGAAGAACCAAAACTGTGGCTGTCCATCACTGTTGTCATGGAAACAAATGATGGCAGCATACCCCATGCTGGAGGCATGACAGAGGCGAGTGGCTTTTTATCAACTGAATGCAAAGTCTGACCGAAGGTTAAATGATTTAAAGCTCTTGGAGATGAATATTCTGCATGAGGGGGTCACAAGAGTGGGTACTCCCATCTTTCTGTCTTCATTTACAGTTACATCTGAACTTTCTGCATCTCCAGGTGGAAGATGTGCAGTCACAAAAGCAGTAGTGGCAGAAGCATTTGTGGTAGCACGTTGGAAAGGAATACAGTGAAAGCAATTAATGGCACTGCAGCTAGATCAAGACAGAATCGTCATGGCCATCTCCAAAACACTCCCTAGTATCCTTGCTCCTATGAGGAGTGTACAGGTTTGGATACCTGGAGAAACTTTGGAAAGCTGAGTTCCATAATGCAGAACATTATTAGCGTTAAAGTTCATGGAAATCTTTGCTGTCACTCCTCTTGTGAAAGGCTGTTGAAGTGTCCTTGTCACAGGAAAGCCACCAGGATTTGGGAGAGCAGGGCCAAACCAGCTGGGAGTCTCATGCTATTTGTCTGCTAAGTTTCATCAGTCAGGCCTTCTGCAAAATTCTGATTCCAAGGCAGCAACGGGAGGGATCTGCAGCCTGTCCTGGTTGGCTGCTGCCACCCTGGGACTGGCTGGGCGTGCTGCCCCAGCAAACACCTCGTTTGTCTCCGTTAGCAAGGGAGACCTTGGGCTTGTTGGAGAGGAGTGTGCTGCATTTCTAAAGAGAAAATCTGTTTTGCTTCTAAATTCTCCTACTGGCAGCGCTGCACTGCGAGCGTGCTTTGCATCTGGAAAAAGTGATATCGGCAGTGAAAGGGAGGATGTGCTCTGTGCTGAGCTGGAGACCTCAGCCGAGCTCTTGGAGGCTGGTGACATGAAAGGTGCAGGGTGAGAGGCTGTAGTGCAATTAGTCAGTGCTGGGAAAGACTAAGGGTGACTCATTGGCAGTATTAGATGTGGAGTACCCGCAGCATGGAAGACTGATGTAGGAACCGCTGCTTTATCCTGAAAAACTGATGACAGAAGAGTGGTACCACTAATTCTGCCAGTCAGGGCTGCCCTAAATGGCTCCGGTAGAAGACACATTATACATACTCTCAGCAAGGAACCATTACAAACTTTTGGAAATTACTGTCAGGAGAGACTGATGCATTTCTGACCCAGGAATATCAGAATTTACAGATGACAAAGAGGTCCTTTCCAAAGGAAACCCTTTTCCCACTAACTCTGTGAAATGCACTGTTGTTGATCCAATGAAAAGCATGGCCCCCATGAACAAGTTGGGACCCCTTCTGTGATTCACCACACTGGAATGCACCATGCTTAGAGCACTATTCCTGCTTTCACTAACCTGTGAGCTAGCTGAATCTGTGCTGAAGACACCTTCAGGATCTGCAGACAAAGGCACTTGGATGGGCAGTACAGCTGGTTTAGAAAAGTTAATGGCATGAGGTGAGTGGATTACCAATGAGGAGAATGATGGTGATGAAACAGCGGCAAGCATGTCTGATCCTGACGTGCTTTCTTTGGAAATGGAGGGTGTTTTCTAGTGGCACTGGCTGGGATGGCACAGCTGCACTCAAATGTGTCACTGGTGGTGTGGTGGGCAGTGTGGCAAACATACCAAGCTGAGGCAAACCTGTTAGAGCAGCTGTGTCATCTGCATCTTGAGACGACGGCCTCAGGGGCGACTCGGCTGAAACCTCAGCGGGTTCCTGGGGCGCGCTGTTCCCACTGCCTTGGTAGAGGGAGGGTGCCAGGTGCATCTGATCCAAAGTCCTGGTACGGGCGCCAGTCAGCGTTGTTTTTATCATCTGAAGCAGGTCTGCGTTCTCCAAAGTCTGTCCCAGAGAAAGATCAGCTACTGAGGGAGTCTTAGTTTCTGTGGAAGGCCGTGTTGGTGATAGTATAGATCTCCAATTAGGAAAAGGTCCTGTAGAAGGAGCATCATTGATATGCTGTTGCCTGACACCTGTAAAAAATAAGTAAAATGAGTATATTCATCCCCAAAATGAAGATTTGTTATCTTGTTGCTACAAATCACAACACAAAATGCATTAAGTTTGGTAAAACAGGTGAAATTTTAATTTTTTGTTGTTGTTTTCAGAGTGCATAAAAATTCAGAGAAAGTTTACCAAAAAAAAAAAAAACAAACCAAAACATGAAACCCAGTGAAAGGTTCAACACAACAGATTATTTTAAACCCCTCAACTCATTTAATGTGACAGAAGAATAAGGAAAGCTGCCTTGGCCATGCTATTCCAAAATCCTACTTTTACCAGGGATGTCTTAACACAATAAAAGACACATTCTTAAAAGACACATTCTTAAAAGACACATTCTTAAGCCTGGGACAATTCCTGAGGTTATCATGAGTCACCCTGTGTCAAAGCACTGTGTGAGAAGATGGGTTTAGAAGCAGTGCAGAAAAGGGTATGGGTTTTGACAAGCAAGCTTCACTGCCTTGGCATGCAGTCTGACATGGGAATCGAGTCAGCACTGGCTGAGTTCCTGTAGGATGCATCTGGAGGTGCTCATCCTGCCAGCTCTAATAACGCATGCAATTACAGGCACAAAGGGAGGAAAATAAAACAGGGATGAACAAGAGGAGAGGGGGGCAAGATCCAAAACAAATTAGGACATTAAACTCTTTTTTTGACATGTGCAGATGCACAACACATCATTTCAAACACCAGTTTACTCTGCATTCAACACTATAATGTTCCTAGGCTTTGTTTTCTTGAAATGATTACAGTTATCCTAAAATCACAGAATGGGAACACTCACATTTGTACTAATTCAAAGATTAAGATTCACTCAAGAGGAAAATTTAAGGTGGTGGTTTTGGTTTTTAATTCCTTCCCCCACATCAAGACAATAGATCAAACTTCAGTCCTGGCACTTGGTACCATGCCAATCTCTGTCCCCTTGCATAGCCAAGCAGAGGGAAAACATGGAGCTAAATCCTGCCCTCCAGATGCAGCACATCTGGATCAGACACAAGGGATGCCAACCTTCTCCACAGCCCCGTGAATAGCCCAGCATAATGGGGAGGAAGGGCAAGCAGAGCAGGTCTTGAGAGACATAAAATGGGCTGGACACTGGCTCCAGCCACTCATGAACCCAGGGGTCAGCAGAGCCAACAGCACCAAATGGAATCAGCCCACACGGACAGGAGCCAGCAGCAGGAGACCTTACAGCACAAGGGAGGAGAATGGGTCACACTGCACCTATTTAAAGCTAAGTTTCTTTCTTTCTACAGTTTTTTTTCCTCCTAAGTTTCTAGACCACCCATCCTCCATATCCACAGGCCACAGTAGATGATTAGACCAGCTCCTTCAGGCTCCTGTGTGCATGTGCCTGGAATTATTCAACATTTTCTCTCTCTAAAACGAAATAAAATTACACACGCACAAAAAAAAAACCCCAGCAAGAAAACCAAAAAAGAAAACCCAAACCCATGAGAGAGCTTCCATATTATCCCTGTATTTAAGAGTTTTATTAAGCCATGGTGAAAAACGGCCATTACTATCTCCTTCACTGAGATGCAAGAATAATTATATTCTCCAGAATTTGGAGACTGTCAATTTGGTTTAGGGAAGCAGCTCCAGGATGGGCAACTGCCGGAATCCCCGGCCTGGTTCAGGGGTTCCGTGTGGTGGAAAAGTCTCTCCTCCAACCCATGCTTCCAAAGAAAACTCTGCAGCCTCTCATTGTTCGGTCTCATGGTTGTTTATTGCAAGTTATCTAAAGGATTGTCTTCCCGGGCTGCTGCAGTTTGCTCAGCAGCTCAGGCAGAGGCACACACACCCCTGACATCCTCTCATCCTCTCTGTCTGCCATCTTCTTCTCTCTCCCCGCCCCTGGCTGCTGCTCTTTTATATGGTACATTACATGCTACAGGTTTACAGTTTTCCCCCAATACCTACTACCTATATTAAATGGTGCCTTTCTACTCTAAACCAATCTGAGTGTGCCAACATCACCAAGAACATGGAGGTAAGGAAGAAGAAGGAGGAAGAACAGGATCGGCCCACTTTCCTCCATCTTAGAACTTCTGACCTTAAAAACCCCCCTGCACAGGTGCTAAACCCCCCTGTACAGCACTAAAAAAATTTCCCCTCTACTTTGTAACTACTTCTACTATACTATTTAACCCTTTGTGACTCATTGTTCCACCTTCAAAGTTGGTAACTTATTCTGTGGCTCAAACTCAAAATCACAGCTGTTTCCAGCTGCCTGCCAGGGTCTCAAATGCTTCTGACCAGGGCCTGGAACCTCCAAAAATGTCTGAGGGACATTTTGAGTTCCAACAGGCAACAGAACAGAGCTCTGCCATCCAAGCAACCAAAGAAGTCCCCAGACCTTTCACATGGCACAGGTCAACTTGCACACTAGTGATCTGGAGAAAAGCAAAGGGAGGCAGCCACAGGGCTACCTATGGCAATGAGAGACAAGCAGGGGAACAAGGAGCCAAATCCACTTTTATGGAGCTGTTCTAGAAGGTCAGCAGGCTGGATAGGAGGCTGCAGAGTCCACCAGGGAACTTGACCCATCAGGAGAGATTTGCAGCACAGAAGGGACGCTTTTGTATTTGGGCCTTGGCTGCTGATGTGTCATCAGGGGACTGGAGACTGTTGTGGCCTGGTTTCTGATATTCTCCACCCTATGTTGGAAGGCACATTGTGTTTTGCTGGCTCTTCCGTTCTTGTGAGTCTGTCAGATTTTTAACAGAAGGTAGGAAAGAATACAAGACGAATTTTGCTCAGCTAGAATGGATTCAAACATGCTGAAATTAAGAACTAGCTGATGTGCTTTGCAAAACCAGACTTTCAGCAATCTGCAGCTTAAATATCTCTGCTGGTGAAGTCATCATTACCCAGCCTGTTGCACCTCTGTCTTGTTTCATCTCAGAACTGAAAAATGACTGCAAAGCCCTTGCGTGAGATTTCTTTTAGCACTTAGTCCTAGAACTACTCTAGCACAAGTCCTAAAGGGTCTTAAGAAATTCAATGTTCTACTTTTATAAAACAGCAAAACCTGTCAGCATCAGTCCTCTCACAGACTGCACTATTCCTCATGCATTTCTTCACACATCAGTTTAATGAGAATGATTATGAGCAGAGAGACAACATAAACCTGGAAAAAGCATTGCTGTTACCTCATATTGACAAGAAGTAAAGAAAAGTTCAAATATTGCAAAGAAGATAACACACTGAATAAAAATATCCTCCAGCCACTTCTTTACTCCTGTCCTTCAGTTCTTGATCCTTCTTTTCCTTACCAGCTGCCAATTTCTCTGTTCATGCCCATTAATGAAGTCAAGCTCTTGAGTTACTGAAGCATTAAGAAAATTATACAATATTCTGCAACCTATGTGTGATGCATTCCACTGCAGCAGATTTTCTCTTACTCTATGCCTATGGAGAGATATTGACTGTCAGCATCTGTTTCAAACTGCCATAAATTCAGCATCCTGGTAGTAACCAGACAGACACAATACATGGAGTTTAAACTCAAGGACGTGCTCTGTGCTTGAGAATTGTTAGGATGGCATCAACTACTACAGATCCCTATCAAAAACTCTTCAAACCAAGACTGCATCATGGAAACAAAGGGAGGCAGAAAAACATTTCACTTCTACATCTATTGACAGCTGAACACACTTGATGAAGGAGGAGACAACCAATTCAAATCAACAGGAAAGCCACAATAAGATCTCCCCACAGCATGCATTGTGTACTGAGCCACTGCTGGTACACACCAGTAGCTGCTCCTCCTGCCTCTAGATTACCTGTTATTCTCTCACATTTCAGCCTATTGATGAACAACCCCCTCCAACAATCCAAAAATCCATCTAGCAGTAACCTCATTACCACATCACTGATGAGGGACCTCTCCATTAGCAATAATGAGGAACATTTCCAATATGCCAGAGCAGGAAGTAAAAATCAGTCCAGTTTGGAGAAAAACACATTTTCTACATTTCTGAGCACTTTTGTGCACACCTAAAGGTGTGATAAAGACCCTGACCTCTTCCCTTTAATAAAGTGAAGGTCCCCATGAGGAAGGTGTAGGCTGCCATGAGGGCACCCCTCACCTTCTCTTCTCCAAGCTGAGCAAGCCAAGGGACTTCAGTTGCTTCCTTCACATCTTGCCCTCAAGGTCTTTCATCACTTTCATCACCCTTCATCACTCTAATAATGTCCTTCTGCCACTTCTGAGTCAGTACAAAATATCAACTCAAAGGCATCTTCAACAAAAGAAGATTTTTGTTGTCTCAGCTTTGGTTGCATTACTTACAGATCACCTGGATTAATAACATTTAAAAGTGAAGCTCATAAAGAGCACGTTCAGAAATGTTATTGCATGACTGACAAAGAAATCCTCCTCATTATATGTCAAGTATGTATCGTTCCATAATCTTCAGCTTAGTGAAGACAGAACTTAAATTTTCCAATCAAGTTGCTTTAATTATTCATTTCTGAGACAAAATGTTACCAAAAAAAAAAAAATCCCCAACTGCTATTAAGTACTGTAAAGGCTTAATTTTAGGAATAAAATAATACCTATGTTAGACTAATTGTAGCCATATAAGGCACAGCAGAAATCCAAACATTATATTACATAAGCAATCTGGATTTTATACAGCTCTAAATCAATCAGCCCTAAGAGACAGTAACTCCAAAGATACCTTATAAAAATTCCAGATTGTGAGAAATACAATTACTTGCAAACAAACACTTCAGCCAAGCCTTTGATAATGCCTCCCAAACATTCTCCTGGAGAAGCTGGCAGCCCATGCTTTGGACATGTGCACTCTTGGCTGGTTAAGAGCTGGCTGGATGGTTGGGCCCAGAGAGTGGTGGGGATGCTGCCACATCCAGCTGGGGACAGTCATTAGGGATCAGTGTTAGGGCCAACCCTGTTTAATATCTTTATTGATGATCTGGGTGAGGGGATCAAGGGTAT